TGTGCCGTCTGGATGGGGTGTGGACTTGAGCGCTGCATGGAAGTCGTCCATGGTGCACTCGATCCAGTCGGTGTCCAGCTGGTTTCGCGCCTTACGCCTCAGAGCCTTCATGCTGCCGGTGAGGTCGTTGCCTGCCGAACGGGTTGCCCATTGCTCTTGCCACTTCGCTGCTCTGACGTCGACGGAGCCCTGCGGGTCGCCGATCACCTGGTTGTTGTGGATGGCCGTGTCCTGCAGCTCTTTCTTCTCCGCCTTCGAGAGGTAGCAGCGGGCGCCCTTGAGACTGCCCTGGAGCGAGGTCTGAGCCCCTTCGCGCACTGAAACCTGCGCTGCAGACCCATTGGTTTTCGAGTGCGCGTCAGCAAAAGTTTGAGCCTTGTCAAGAAGTGCTTTGGCCTTATCTGAAGCCGGGTAGCTTTGATCAGGTCGACCTTGACGTAAGAGCGTGATGAGCTCATCTACGAGGGCAATCTCACCTTCTTGCGGGGCCTCGGCCCTCATCCTTTGCACTGTGTCCACGAGGTTCTCAAGGAGCTGGCGTGGCGTGCTGCTCTGGGGCCTCCGCGTCATCTCGGGCCCGGTCGTCGCCAGTGCGCTGTCCATCATCTTCAGCAGGTGCTCGGTCTTGGAGTAGACCACGGGACATTTGTCGGATAGCCTCGTGGGGCCTTCAATGTTTGTTGATAGCTGCATTCCTCGCCTCGTGATCTTGATCGAACTCGGCGATCGAATCGAGGAGAGCTTGGCGCCTCGGAGAGGGCCAGGCCCGCTCGCACAGCTCATGTGCAATTTGCTCCAGGGGTCGACCTCCGCGACGCTGCTGCAACTGGCGAGCAAGTTCGCGCTGTTCCATGGGGGCATGATGTACGCGAGGAGGTACGGCTCGCACCTGCGCATCCAGTCAGACGGCTCTTGCTGCTCCTCGCTGGTTAGCTCCGCGATCCAAGTGGATGCCCAGACCGTGAGTGACTCTGTCAAGTCACGTACTGGCTGTGGAGCTCGAGGCAGAGCGGGGTCGCGGCCCATGAGCTCCAGGGGCTGGTGCAGGTGGCAGTGGAGCTCTGCCTCGCAGACAACGGCGCAGTCGGGTTCGTCGTCGCTAGCCCCTTCTCGCTCTGTGCCAGCCTGTCTGTCAACCCTCGCAGCGCGAGTATCTTCCGATGCACCTGGCCATCCAGCAGAGGCCCAGTTGACGGGGAGGTTCCAGACGGGTCGAGACCCCAAGACGCAGGGCCCGAGGACTGGCTGCTCTCGGCGGCCGCCCAACCACCACACGCACTAAGAGCCGCAGGTGCAGGAGGCGCCCCACCCCCGATCGCAGCCGCCCCAGGGCCCTTTTCAGCCTTAGAGGCTTACTCCCAAGACGCGCCCCAAGAGAGTTCCCAAGAAGGCCCGGTGTTGACGGCGCGTTGGGCCTGCGTCCTATGTTAGACCGTTCTGGTCGGACTGCAGCACTTGGATTACCCAGTAGTTGAGGATGCGGCGCCTCTGGATCGTCGGGCTCGTGTAGCGGCTCCATGTAGTCATCCCAGCTGTCGTCGCCGTTCAGCTCGAAGAAGGGGTCGGCGTTGGCGTCTTCCATGCTGGCCCTTGCCTTTGGAGGGGCAGCTGAAGGGGGGCGAACTTGAGCTATCTTCCAGGGAAACTTTTTCTTGAAATTGTCGCCGGCTGCCAAAGGGATGTCAGTCCACGGGTAGCGCTAAAAGGGCGGCGTTCTCGCGACCGAACGTGCTAGTGGAGCGTCCAATGCCGCGTCGGCTACTATCTGATTGTTGCTGTTAATGACCCTGGCCTTCGAGGCGCAGAAGTCGTCGGAGTGGTCGTGCTGCTGGCGCCGCTCGCATTGCTTGCAGGAGACTTCGAGCTGGCTGGCGAGGCTAACCCAAGCATTCGTCTCTAGCTGCTGGGAGCCCGCCTGGATGCACAGCGGGCCTGGATGGCGAATCATCTGTTCGAGCCGATGACGTAGAGGTTGTCCCCGTCGCTTCTCATCGCTGGTCGGCAACTCGTCCGGCAAACTGAGGAGGGGGGGCTCTGCTGCCATGGCCCATCTGCCGTGCGCGTCAGCAAGCTCGACCGCTGCCGCTGGGTCGAGGGCGTACGCAACGCGCTGCTGCGTCCCGGAACTGGCCTGCAGGATGGGGAGGTTCTGGACTAGGTCCTCGTGGGTGGCCCACGCGTCGTCGCCAACAAGGTAGGGCACTTTCTTGAAGTAGGAGGCCTGCAGCAGATGGTCATGTACATGGTTACCTCCTTCCATGACCTCTCCTTCTTCTGTATGGTGTAGCCGCGCGTGGTTATGTCGGTCGCGCTGCTTTCTCTTCAGGCCATTCTCGACGTGGATTTCGCTGTCGGGAACCTTAATCGGTGCAGGCAGAAGCGGCCTCGTGCACATCGCGGCGGCCGGCCTCGAATGCATGCGGATCTCAATGCCCGCGCGGGGCTGCCACGGCACAGTGTAGACAGGCTCGATTGACTTGATGAGCGGCAGGAACGTTGGCGAACACAGACACCAGTCTATCATTCGTCCTGAGCTTCCCGCACATGTGAAATCGCAGTTGGGCTGAAGATACTGAGCTGCAACAGCCTCGTGTCACCTGGAGGTCTTGAACTGCTCAGGAGTGTTATTGAAATCGCCGTATACCATCCACGGCGTGCCCAGCGTGTGGACCAGAGCGAGCAGCTGCGAGGGCTTGGAGATGTTGACTGGCAAGTCCGGTCCTTGGGGGTCGGAAGTGAGGTAGATGACAATGAAGGCTACATTGACGTGCTTGAGACGAACCATTGCGACGGAAATGTCCTGAAGCTGCTGGCCCAGAAGGTCGTCTCCCCCACCCGCAGCAAGATGCGCGAAAGTATTGAACTGCCGAGCGCGCGCCCAGACAGCTCCCCCAGAGCTGCCCTTCCCTGACGTCGGCTTGGCTGGTGAGGTAGTATATTCAGTGCGCCACCCCATGCCTCTGTGGTGCCGCTGTTTGTTCTCGAGCTGCTTGCCATGCACGTGGGCTTCCACAAAACCCACGAAGTCGCATGGGGCGTCCCTGCAGAACTCGCAGACAGCGTAGGAGAAGTTGCTGATGTTCGCCACGAAGGCGCGGAGGTCGCGCTGCGAGAGGCGCTGGAGGTTGGGGTTAGAAACAGCGCTGTCCCTCACCCGACCCCGCCGCTTCCTGGCCCTTGCCCGCGCCCTTTGCAGCAACGAGCTGGGCGGCGCGGATACGGGTCTGCTCGGCGATGAAGCGGTTGACCTCGTCTGCGTCCTTGAAGTCATACTTCTCGGAAGCGGTCTTGGGCTTCTCAAAAAAAAAAAAATTAAAATAAACGGAAAAAAAACACAAAAAAAAAACAGAAACAAAAAAAATTTCTCAAAGCTTAAAAAAATAATATAAAAACAACAAAAAAGAAAATAAGAACATAAAACGAAAAAAAAAAAAAGAACCAACGCATAAAAAAGAATAAAATAAAAAAATAAAAAAAAAAAAATACAAAAAAAAAGCTAGAAAAAACGGCTTCTCAAGGGGCGCCCCTTGCTTGGAGTCCACTTCCGTAGTAGCTGTCGGGGCACCTCTCCGATCTGCTTCATTGCCTTTGCGCTTCTTGATGCTGATGGTCTCTCGATGCTTCTTTGCGGTCAGGACAGCCTCTCGAGCTTGCTCGCCTGTGCGACGGAGGTTCTAAATGGCCTCTTTGGCCTGCTCGTGTGTGTTCTTGGCCGCGTCGTAGGCTTGTCGTTCTTCAGGTGTGAGGTTAGCCAAATCGCCTTCTTCCAGACTTGGGACGTCCTCTTCGCTTGTCTCTGGGGCCTGAGAAGCAGGTGCAGTTTCTGGCCTACCATTGGCGCGAAGAGTTGCCGATAGCCGCTCCACGTCAGCTGAAACCTGTTGTGACTCATGGATGTTCTTGGTGAGCTTCTCGGCCAGCTGCTCCTGCCAAGCTGCAGTTCGCTGGAGCTGCTCACGGAGGCGATCTTGCTGTCCCTGAAGCCGTCGCAGGGTGGCTGCTGCATCTTCGAACAGATTGGTGGTCGGCTTGGCTGGAGGCAGGCTTGCCTCTGGTGCACTGGGGAACTTTCCTGCCGGGAGCCGTGCACCGTCTGCGTCTCACTTCTCGTTGGGGGCTTCCATTGCCTTGCGCATCGTCTCTGCGACGGCTGGGTCCACTGGCTTGGGCTGCGTGTCCAGGTAGAAACGCACCACGGATCCGGGGCGTAGGAGAGTAGTCCAATAGTTTTTGCGCGTGTTCCTCGGCGACTGCGAACGAGGCTTGCCCTTCGGCCCTCTGGGTCCCTTGCGGGCCATATCGTAGCCGTAGTCGTTGTTTTGGCCTAGCCCAGACGTCCCCACGACGGAGCAGCTGGCCAAGAGAAACAATTGCAATCCCAAGGATATCGCTGGCTCGACAGAGCAACCCCTCAAGTCGGAACAAAAGTGTACTGCACGCGGGCTCGCGCACAGCACCAAATGTGCTGCCGACCCTGGCCTGGGACTTTCAGCAAGCACATATGAGCTGACAAACCTGCAAGCCGAAATATTACTTGAGAGGATGAGGAGGAGGAGGAGGAGGAGGAGGAGGAGGAGGAGGAAGATGAGGAGGAGGAGGAGGAGGAGGAGGAGGAAGGAGTGAGACGCGCGGCGGTGCGGATTCCGAACGAGGACCCAACTCACAAGCGGGTTGGGAACAACAGTTGCGTTAAAACAATTTGTATGCCTCTCGGGGGCCTCCCAGGGGCTTCTTTGGGGCCTCGTGGGGAGTCTTGGGACCTCTTGGAGCCTCTTGAGGGTCTCTTGGGGCCTCCTGGGGGCCTCTTGGGGCCGAAAGCTTAAAATTTGACTGTGGTTTTCCATGTCTAAGACTCCTCTTGGGCCTGTCCTGGGCCTCCCTTGGGCCGTCTTGGGGGCCTCTTGGGCCGTCTTGGGCCTCTTTTGTGCCGTCTGGGAGCTCTCTTGGGGGCCTCTTGGGCCGTCTTTCTTTTCAGGTTGATTAGCGCTCTTGCCATGATCGCTGTAGCCGGCGGCGTGCTGCTGAAAGGCGAACACAGTTGCGGAACCGCGGCGAAGGACCCCCCGGCTCAACCGCATCGGCCGTTCATGAATTCAATCACGCTGGTCTCAGCCACAGGCGGCCTTTCGGAGGATTCGAGCGCCCACGCCTGCGGCGGAAAGAACGGCTCACAATCTTCACGGCCAGGCTGTCTCTGGTGATCCGTCATCCGCGCGAAACGATGCCGCCAACTTGCGCTGGTATCGGCGGCGCTGCGTCCTCGTCATGCGCACAAAACGGCTTCCTTCCACCTCGTCCGCTCCTCGCGAACTGTCCGCTGGGCCTGGGGGGCCAGCCGGTGATGGCCCGCGGCCGGGCGGGGCCTCCGCAGGCGACAAGCGGACCACAACGTGTGTGAAGTCCGCCAAAGCCCGCTCCGACCACTCCGCGAGGCTGGCCGAAGGCGCGGTGGGGACGCCGGGGTCGGAGCTGGGCCTCCGAGCCAGCCTGACCTGCTCCACCCACGGCCTTCTGCAGTCCAAGAACGTGTTGGAGGTGATCAGCAAATTTCTGGACAGCATGGCTCGCCCAGCGGCCTGAGACGCGTCGCAGCTCCTGAGGGCGAGGCTGCGCAACCCTAGCCTTGAGCGAAAATGGTTGCGGAGGTCTCTTAGGCCGTCTTGGAGGCTTCTTGAGCCGTTTCGGGGCTACTCCCTCAGGGGGTGCTGGCGACCCGTCGTGTTTTCCTCGTAATTTCACACGGAGAAGGAATATAGACCATACATACATACATACATACATACATACATACAGACAGACAGACAGACAGACAGACAGACAGACAGACAGACAGACAGACAGACAGACATACACACATACATACACACATACATACATACATACATACATACATACATACGTACATACCTACATGCATGCATGCATGCATGCATGCATACATACATACATACACATACATACGTGTATACACACATGCATACATACACATATCCATACATACATACATACACACTCATACATACATACATACATACATACATACATACATACATACATACATACATACACACATACATACATACACACATACATACATACACACATACATACATACGTGTGTGTGTGTGTGTGTGCGCAATCCCTCCCAGCCACTATTCACTTTGCATGTTGCATCGTTCTTTTTGAGTTCGTCATTCGTGCTCTCTCACTCTCTCTCTGTCACACTGATTATCCACCTTCCTGTCATCGGTGCCTGCTCATCCATATTCCCATTCGTCATTTCTCCGCTGTTGTTTAGCGCTGGGATCTAGTTGGAATCTGCTGGATCTGGGATCTGGTCCGTTCTAAGTAGATTGTGATTCGGTCACAATGATAATCCCAATGGACACAGCTGGATCTGGGATGTGCCCAAATACAAATACATTCTAACTCGAGTCCCAAGATAATCAGATTGTAATCACTTGGATTCGGGATATGTTCACTTCCGAATTAATTATAATTTGATTCCATTCGGAATCAAACTTGAATCAACCGTATCTGGGATCTGCTCTATTCCAGTTCGATTCTAATAGAATCCCAATCCGAATCCAAGTGGAATCAGCTGGATCTGGGACATGCCCCATTTCAATATGATTCGAATTAAATCCCAATCCGCATCCAATGGGAATCAGCTGGATCTGGGATCTGCTCCATTCCAACCAAATTCAACTTGGATTTCAATCGGAATATACCTTGAATCCTCTGGATATGTGATCTGCTAGGCTAAAACTAGTTTCTAACTCGACTCCAGCTGGATCTGGGACGTGCTTCATTACGATTAGCTTCTAGTTCGATCCTAATAGGAATAAACTTGAAATCAGCTGGATCTGGGATCTGCTCCATTCCAAGTCTATTCGAATTAGACTCCAATAAGGATCAACTGAGAATCAACAGGACCTGGGACCTGCTGCGGTCCAGTCCAATTCTGGTAGGGATACACTTTGAATCAAATGGACCTGGGACCTGCTCCATTCAAATTCGATTCTCATTACATCCCAATCCGAATACAATTGTAATCAGCTGGATGTGGGATCTGCACCATTCCAATTCGATTACAAGCAACCCCCCATAGGAATTCAATTCGAATCGGCAGGATATGGGATCTGATCAATTCGAATGATATCCCAAACGGCATCCAAACGGACTCAGCTGGATCTAGGGTCCGCTCCACCCGAATCATATCCTACTTAGATCCCAAAAGGGGTTCAATTGAAATCAGCTGGATCTGACATCTGTTCACGCGTTATATTCTAATCCGATCCCAATCTGAATACATTCGGAACCGGCTGGATCTGGGGTCTGCACAATTTCAATAAAATTGCCAATCGATTCCCATATTAACCAAACCTGAATTTGTCTGAATCAGCTGGATCTGGGATCTGCTCAATTCTAATTCGATTATAGCACCTCCAAGTAGGAGTCACATTTGAATCCGCTGAACACGAACTCAGCTCCGTCCCAATTAGATTCAACCTGTACTCCAATAGGAATCGGAGTGCTATCAACTGGACATGACATATGTTCACTTCCAATTGTATTCTCGTCGGGTGAGGAGAGGTCCCCAGAAACCTAACACAATCCTTGTACAACAAACGCAGGGTTCGCGACGTCAGGGGTGGCCAAACCTTGTGGTTTCATTCGGATGTTTCGGGATTCTGGGGTGGGAAGTGAGGAAACAATGTGTTGTCACTGGTGTTTTTTGGTGGAATGTTGGTGACTCTGATTGCCAACGGAAATCCCGCCCATGAGCCATGAGCCCCAGAAGGTTCAGAACCCGGGAATCCCAAACACCCAAGCAACCCAAATGGAAACACAAGGCTCCTTCACTTCCCATCCCGAAATCCCAAACATCCACGTGAAAATTATAGCTGGAGTGCAATATCCCCAAACAGGGTTTTTAGACCCACTGCGGTTTCCAAGGTCGATTGCGTGCCCGTCCGGTGCGGGCTGGCATGGCATGTTAAAACATGCCTCCTCCTCCTCCTCCTCCTCATCCACCTCCTCTTCATCCCGAACGGCATCTCGGAGCCCAGAGTTGCGAGGATGCCTCCAGCGTAACGGGCTGGACCACCTCGCGCGCGGCATCTCGGACCCCAGAGTTGCGACGATGTCTCGGGCGAAACGTGCTGCGAAGAAGTCTCAGGCGAAACGGGCCAGACCACCTCGAGCGCGGCGTCTCAGAGCTCCGAGTTGCGGGGGCCTCCTGGGGCCTCCTGGGACCTCCTGGTGACCTCCTGGGGCTTCCTCCTGGGCCTCCTGTGGCCTCTTGGACCCCACCTGGGGCTTCCTGAAGCCTCTTGGGGCTCCCAGGGGGGGATATCTAACATGCGGCCGTCGGGGCCCCCCCAAATGGGGGGGCCACAAGAGCAGGAAAAATCAACGAATCGACACCAGATTAGTATTAACTTGACACGTTCTGATAGGGGGCCTCCTGGGGCCTCCTGGGAGCTTCCTGGGAATTTCCTGCGGACCCCTGGGGCCTGTCCTGGGCGTCCTGCGGCCTCCTGAAGCTCTCTGGGGTCTCCTGGGGCTCCCAGGGGGGATATGTAACATGTGGTCTTCTGGGCTCCAGGCTGGACCACCTCTTGCGCGGCATCTGGGAGCTCAGAAATGCGAGAATGTCTTGTGCGAAACGGGCCGGACCACCTTGCGCACGGCATCTCAAAGCTCAGAGTTGCGAGGATGTCTCAGGCGAGATGGGCCGGACCACCTCGCGCAGGGCATCTCGGAGCCCAGAGTTGCGAGGATGTCTCCAGCGTAACGGGCTGGACCACCTCGCGCGCGGCATCTCGGACCCCAGAGTTGCGACGACGTCTCGGGCGAAACGTGCTGCGAGGAAGTCTCAGGCGAAACGGGCCGGACCACCTCGAGCGCGGCGTCTCAGAGCTCCGAGTTGCGGGGGCCTCCTGGTGCCTCCTGGGGCCTCCTGGGGACCTCCTGGGGCTTCCTCCTGGGCCTCCTGTGGCCTCCTGAACTCCACCTGGGGCTTCCTGAAGCCTCTTGGGGCTCCCAGGGGGGGATATCTAACATGTGGCCGTCGGGGCCCCCCCAAATGGGGGGGGCCACAAGAGCAGGAAAAATCAACGAATCGGCACCATATTAGTATTAACCTGACACGTTCTGATAGGGGGCCTCCTGGGGCCTCCTGGGAGCTTCCTGGGAATCTCCTGCGGACCCCTGGGGCCTGTCTTAGGCGTCCTGCGGCCTCCTGAAGCTCTCTGGGGCCTCCTGGGATCCCAGGGTCCCAGGGGGGATATGTAACATGTGGTCTTCTGGGCCCCCAGGCTGGACCACCTCTTGCGCAGCATCTGAGAGCTCAGAGTTGCGAGCGAGAATGTCTTGTGCGAAACGGGCCGGACCCCCTTGCGCACGGCATCTCAGAGCTCAGAGTTGCGAGGATGTCTCAGGCGAGATGGGCCGGACCACCTCGCGCAGGGCATCTCGGAGCCCAGAGTTGCGAGGATGTCTCCAGCGTAACGGGCTGGACCACCTCGCGCGCGGCATCTCGGACCCCAGAGTTGCGACGATGTCTCGGGCGAAACGTGCTGCGAGGAAGTCTCAGGCGAAACGGGCCGGACCACCTCGAGCGCGGCGTCTCAGAGCTCCGAGTTGCGGGGGCCTCCTGGTGCCCTCCTGGTGCCTCCTGGGGCCTCCTGGGGACCTCCTGGGGCTTCCTCCTGGGCCTCCTGTGGCCTCCTGGACCCCACCTAAACATGTGGCCGTCGGGGCGCACCAAAATGGGGGGGGGGCCACAAGAGCAGAAAAAATCAACGAATCGACACCGGATGTGTATTAACTTGACACGTTCTGATAGGGGGCCTCCTGGGGCCTCCTGGGAGCCTCCTGGGAATCTCCTGCTCCCCCCTGGGGCCTGTGCTGGGCGTCCTGCGGCTTCCTGAAGCTCTCTGGGGCCTCCTGGGGCTCCCAGGGTCCCAGCGGGGATATGTAACATGTGGTCTTCTGGGCCCCCAGGCTGGACCACCTCTTGCGCGGCATCTGGGAGCTCAGAATTGCGAGAATGTCATGTGCGAAACGGGCCGGACCAACTTGCGCACGGCATCTCAGAGCTCAGAGTTGCAAGGATGTCTCAGGCGAGACGGGCCGGTGTCTCGGGCGAAACGTGCTGCGAGGAAGTCTCAGGCGAAACGGGCCGGACCACCTCGAGCGCGGCGTCTCAGAGCTCCGAGTTGCGGGGGCGTCCTGGTGCCTCCTGGAGCCTCCTGGGGACCTCCTGGGGCTTCCTCCTGGGCCCCCTATGGCCTCCTGAACTCCACCTGGGGTTTCCTGAAGCCTCTTGGGGCTCCCAGGGGGGATATCTAACCTGTGGCCGCTTGGGCCCCTCAAAATGGAGGGGGGCACAAGAGCAGTAAAAATCAATGAATCGACACCGGATGTGTATTAACTTGACACGTTCTGATAGGGGGCCTCCTGGGGCCTCCTGGGAGCCTCCTGGGAATCTCCTGGGGACCCCTGGGGCCTGTCCTGGGCGTCCTGCGGCCTCCTGGAGCTCTCTGGGGCCTCCTGGGGCTCCCAGGGTCCCAGGATATGTAACATGTGGTCTTCTGGGCCCACAGGCTGGACCACCTCTTGCGCGGCATCTGGGAGCTCAGAGATGCGAGAATGTCTTGTGCGAAACAGGCCGGACCACCTTGCGCACGGCATCTCAGAGCTCAGAGTTGCGAGGATGTCTCAGGCGAGACGGGCCGGACCACCTCGCGCAGGGCATCTCAGAGTTCAGAAGTTCGAGGATGTCTCAGGCGGGCTCCCAGGGACCCAGGGGGGATATGTAACATATGGTCTTCAACATGTGGTCTTCTGGGCCCCCAGGCTGGACCACCTCGTGCGCGGCATCTGGGAGCTCAGAGTTGCGAGAATGTCTTATGCGAAACAGGCCGGTCCACCTTGCGCACAGCATCTCAGAGCTCAGAGTTGCGAGGATGTCTCAGGCGAGACGGGCCGGACCACTTCGCGCAGGGCATATCAGAGCTCAGAAGTTCGAGGATGTCTCAGGCGAAACGGGCCGGACCACCTATCGCGCGGCATCTCCGAGGCCAGAATTTCGAGGATGTCTCAGGCGAAACGGGCCGGACCACCTCGCGCAAGGCATCTCCGAGGTCTGAATTTCGAGGATGTCTCAGGCGAAACGGGCCGGGCCACCTCGCGCAAGGCATCTCCGAGGTCAGAATTTCGAGGATGTCTCAGGCGAAACGGGCCGGACCACCTCGCGCAAGGCATCTCAGAGCTCAGAGTTTCGAGGATGTCTCAGGCGAAACGGCCCGGACCATCTCTCGCACGGCACCTCGGGGCTCAGAGTTTCGAGGATGTCTCAAGCGAAACGGCCCCGACCACCTCTCGCGCGGCGTCCCGGAGCGCAACTTTTCGAGGATGTCTCAGGCGAAACGGCCAATCCCAGCCAACTCAGAAACGAGAGTTGTGAGGATGTGTCAAGCGAAACGGCCCGGACCATCAAATTTTTGTGAGGATGTCTCTGCTTCCCCTTCCCTCGGCCGGAGTTAGCTTCTATCACAACAGCACCCCGTTCAGCAAGCTGTTTGGGAAAAAATGAGCCAGCGTTCCCCTGCGAGGCGCGCGGGCTGCAGGGTAGGTGGGTGCAGAAGAATCAAGCTGCTGCTCCCCAGAAATTCGCCGGGAGGGGGGGGACGCAATGCCGCCCGCTTCCCTCATCGTTTGTTTAGTTTCGGCGATACTGGGCACTGTAGGGGGAGGGGGGGGAGGGGCCAGGAGGGGGGGGTATAATGTAACGCCCCCCCCCGCCGTGCGCACGGCGGCAGTGCCCGAAGCGCACTGAGGGGGAGGGGCGTCACGTTATAGGGGGGGGAAAGGGGGGGGGCTATGATACCCATTATGCCCCACACGTTCGTAGGGTCCCGAGACACCAATCATTAACCAAGTAAGACCCCCTTAGGCGAGCCTAATTGGGAAATCTTTCACGTAATAACCCCTTAAGCAAGCCTTATTGGGGAACTACGAGTCGCTGGGGGCGGGGAACCCAAGGAACCAAGGAAACCAAAGGAACCTCCAGGCAACGGTTAACGGAACAACAGGAGGCACCAGGGGCGAGGAATCTAAGGAATCTCCGGGGAACGGGCACAATAGGGGCCCGAGGCAGGGGGCGGGGAACCCGGGGAGTTGGGGGAGTCTCTGGGTAACGGGTCAAGTAGGGTCCCGAGACACCATTATTTTACCAATTAAGAACCCCTTATGCAAGCCTAATTGGGGACTCATCATCATCATCATCATCATCATCATCATCATCATCATCATCATCATCATCATCATCATCATCATCATCATCATCATCACCACCACCATCATCATCATCATCATCATCATCATCATCCTCATCCTCATCCTCATCCTCATCATCATCATCCTCATCCTCATCCTCCTCATCATCATCATCATCATCATCGTCATCGTCATCGTCATCGTCATCGTCGTCGTCATTATCATCATCATCATCATCATCAGCATCGTCATCATAATCATCATACTCATCAGCAGCATCATCATCATCAGCATCATCATCATAAGCATCATCATCGTCGTCATCATCAGCAGCATCATCGTCACCACCATCATCATCCTCATCCTCATCATCATCATCATCATCATGATCATCATCATCACCATCATCATAATCAGCATCATCATAACCATCATCATCGTCATCATCATCACGGTCATCGTAGTCATCGTCAGCCTTGTCTTCATCCATATGCCCATCATAAGGTCCATTAGTGAGGTTAGCACAATCATCGTAAGAAACAGCGGCGTATTCATCATCGGCATCACCATCCTCATGTTCATCATCTCCATCGTCGTCAACTTCAAGATCAATATCACCATAACCAGCATCACCATCATCATCAACAGCATCATAATCAGCATCGTTAGCATCGACAGCATCATCAGCAGCATCATCATGATGATCATCATCAGCAACAGCATCGTCAGTATCATTATCATTACCATCATCAGCCACAGCATCCACAACATCATCGTCATCGCCGTCGTCATCGCTATCGTCACCATCATCATCATCATCATCACCAACAACGGCAACATCAGCATTCGACATCCGCAACATCCACATCATCTGCAACATCATCGTCATCGCCGTCGTCATCGTCATCGTCATCATCGTCATTCTACTATAAGTGTCCTCTTGAACCCCCAGAAAGAAGATTGAACAGCGCGATCTCCCTGTGGGCAGCCGCTTGGAGGGTGGCTTCTCATCTGTGCGGCGCAGCGTCGTTCGGCGTGCCCCTTACGAGTCCCGGCCGGGAAGATGTGCTACGTGTTGCCATCGACACTTGAGAATCGAGGACGGAGGCTTTGGACGGTTTCGGATCGTTTTGGACTGTTTGGGGCCATTTCCAAGCCTATGGGGGCCTCTGGGGGGACCTGTGGGGGACAGGGTCCAGGGCGGAAGTACATCTTCCCAGGAAGAAGGGGCCATCCTCATGACAGGTGGCCGCTGGGGGAAAAGGCTCAGGCTGTAGGCAACGGCCTCCCCCACCAAAAAAATCCACGGGGGCCTGATGTTCATGGTATGAGATATGATGTCCCTGAACTGGGCCGTACTCAAGCTATGCTCCTCCTCCTCCACCTACTCAAATCATTTTTTAGCGCAACTCGGCGTAATTTGCTTGTGGCATGCCAACAGCCCAGTCGTGGCCCTGACCTACACAAAATGCATTCGTAGCTCAGTCGGGGTTGATCACCACTGCCTACGACAATCTCGCAGAGCGGTCGCAGTCCACTCGCACAAGTACTTTTTATACCACATCGACCTAGTGCTAGAGTTTGCCGCGGTCGTGTTGTCGAGCTGCGCTTGCGCCTACATCCGCACGCAGTTGGTTTCACCAACTATGCGGTGCCCCAGGCCGAATTCTGCTGCGATTGGCGAAGGGTGTCTGCCTCGCAGCGCGCACCCAGGGGGCGCGCACCCAGGGGATCCGACACCTCCAAACTAGAGGTTCCATCTGAAATGGCTCCAGGAGCAATGCCTGCACCCATAGATTCGTACCTGCACGGCTTCTCCCTGGGCCGTAGGCGACCCGAGGAGGAGGAGGAGGAGGAGGAGGAGGAGGAGGAGGAGGAGGAGGAGGAGGAGGAGGAGGAGGAGAGGAAGGAGGAGGAGGAGGAGGATAATGAGGAGGAGGTGGATGGGGGAGGAAGGGGGGGGAGATGGAGGAGGATGAGGAGATGGAGGAGGCGGCGGCGGCGGCGAAGCGGTAACGGGCCGAGTCGAGAGAAGCTCCGACAACACATCAATCGAAACGAATTTCGAATTGTGCGACCTACCGTGCGCTAGTTATACTGCGACTATAGGCCCCCGCGGCGGGAGCCCCGATTGAGTGATCGCTCGGCCAAGGCTGAATCACGAGACGAATTCCAGCCCACCGCACTTCCCACAGCAGGCACACAGTAGACGGAGCCCACGGGCCAGAAACCGCCAACCAGGCATCCGCACGGGAAGAACGATCGGCACAACCTAAAACGAGACCAGGACACGCCGAGTCCCCTCGGGCTCTGGCGAGGCTACCTGGTGGCCATCTTCACAAGTTCTTTGAAACTGTACTGTCTCTGCTGCACGTTGGGAGGGGGAGGAGGAGGAGGTCGCAGGGGATCGGGCGCAGCGGATGGACGGAGCGGTGCCTTGACCTCGACCACGCCCTCAGAGGTCGTAGTCGTTGCTGATGATCCCCTCCCTGTGTGGAGCCGACTCACGCCAGGAATCGCAGCCACATTCTGCAGAGACCCACCAGTCGTACACACAAAATCCGAAATATCACGTACCCGATCACCCTGACTAGAAACACGTCCACTCGAATATCCCATCTCATTCGAACGTACGCAGGCTCCCTGCCTCGATGAACGGCTTATCTGCGGCGAAGATCTGGAGACACCCGCCAGACTACGTGGCGACTTTGAGCCTGGGAGGCCATCCCTAGGACTTCCAGAACTGGAGACATGGCGACGCGAACCAGGGAGGCCATCCCCTGGATTTGCGTTCTAGTATCCAGCCCGTCACGTGGCGACTTTGAGCCTGGGAGGCCATCCCCAGGACTCCCAGAACTTCGATGCAGGGCGACGTCAACCAGGGAGGCCATCTCCTGGATTTGCGTTCTAGTACCGCCAGCGCCCTCTAAATCCCGTCCTCCCAGTCGTCGATCGCCAACTGCAGAATCCTTTCCACATTCGACCTCGGGGCTACCCCTGCTTTGGCCTCGCCGCCCAGCTGGACCGCGCAGTCGGTGAATATCTTGGTCAGCTCTACGTCCGCCAGCGCGAACAGCAGCTTTGCGTTGCCTTCCTTGAAGCTCGTGCTGATACGGAATCCTCGCACCAAAAAGGTAAAGTCCGTCAGGCTGGTGATCTGGGCGAGCTTCGTCTTTCGCTGATCCCGCAAGGCCTTGTTCCGAGCTCCTACCCTTTCGCCTGCCTTGCTCAATGCCTCGGTCGTCACCAGGAACACCTGAACGCGCGCGGGCCCCATCGCCACCTCTGGCAACGGCTTGGAGTTGTCGAGCCCCCATTCCTCTCATCGCCGCCGCCATCGTTGCGCAGGCGCGACCTGCCTGGAAGGAGGCCTTCGCGATCTCCGGGGGCTCCTCGAGCATCGCCGCCTGGTAGGCCGCCGGGAGCAGCTGCCTGATCATGAACGAGTTGCCCAACACCGCCTTCACGAGTACAGGCATCAGCTTGGCGACCGCGCTCTGATCCATCGAAGGGAGCTTCGCCAGGGTGTCGTCTGGCAGGCCGTGCGCTTTGCCCACCGCCATCTTCGCGTCGTCGGGCCTCGCCGTTGCCGCCGCCGGCGCGCCTCCTGGGGCGGCCGCGGCCTGGCGCCGAGGAGGCCTGCTGCCGCGCGGCCCCGGCGCCTTCCACGACCTCGGGAGGCAGCCGCTGAGCCGGAGCGGCCTCGTTGCCCGCTGGCTCTCTCGCCGCGCCCGTTCGAGCGGCCGCGGGTCGCCGCCGCCTCGAGGCCCTCGTCCTTCAGGCGAAACATCACGACAGTAGCGTGGGCGCCGAAGGCGACTGCACCGACGAATGCGAGCGCATAACAGATCACGGTTGGCGAAAACTTCAGTCCTTGAGCAAGCACGCGCAGCATCATGAGCATTCAGACCGTCTTTCCACAAGGACGCCCGAGACAAGGGCGAGAAAGGGCATGTGAGACTGCATGGTTCGATTACCTCATGCCCGAACGGGGTAGCACGTGGAGGGCACCTGTTACGCAGTGCCGCTGAGACCGTGCGCCCCTGTGCAATGCGCCGTGCTCGGAAGCTCTGCCGACAGAACACGCGCTCGTTCGTCATGGTCATGCTGTGTGCTATAGATCGGCAGTTGCGACCTCCAGCCTTCGAAAATCTCTGGCGCGCAAGCATTGCCCGACGCGCAGTGAACGCGCGATTGCATAGAGCACCCGTGGAGTCCCTGAGGTCACATGCCCATATAGGAGCAGGAGGATCTGGTACTACAGCGCTCTCCAGCGCACCATCAGGGACCATTCCAGGATCGCGCAGCCCAGGAGGTGGCGCGATGGCCACAGCGCGAGCGGCAGCTCGGAGCACCCCTGGGTCCAGACGAAGAAAACGTTCCCGAGCATCCTGGTCCACGAACAGGGCCCCGACGTTAAACCTAAACCTCTCGCCCCCCATGGAGCCCACCAAGAGGCCCTCCAAGAGCCCCCCTTCCCCCTCTGCCCTCTTCCACAACTTCACGACATCGGTGACGAACCGTTGCGCATATGCGTTCGCCTCGTGAGAAAGACAACCGCTCTCCAGGATCGTCGGCCCAGCGCCCATGGGAAGCTGGCCGAAAACGGAGCCCAGCTCTTGGGCGCGGGCACTTGGAACCGTGAGCCATCGCCTATACATGCGAAGGCGCCGCACCATCAACTCAATGCTTGCGGGGGCAACACCAACGCGCCTTAGAACAACTTCATCATGATCAGCCGTGTATTTGAGGATGGGCTTGCCGTTCGAGTCGTGGAGGGGGCCCCCATCGGCACCGACGACCTCCTTCTTTTTGCGCGCGCCCCCTCCGAGAATCTTCCGAGCGAACCCCACAAGGACACGGTCGCGTCGACGTTCTTGAGTAGGGGTCAGCACGAGCACCGTGAGACCAAATAAGAGAGCACCCTGAACAACCGCTCCAAATACCGTTCTAGTAAATCTCCAGGCGCGAAATTGCTGCCGAAAGCGTCCCATTCCATAGTGTCCCCTCCGACACGCCACGATCCGACGACGAAGTTCACTCTTCGCGCCCCCGTTCGCGGAAGTAGAAATCCCACGAGCAACGCTGTCAAGCTGCACTCGACCATCGACGGGGGGCCTGCCACTAAAGAGATCTGAAGCATGACCATGCGCCCCAGGGACCGCAAAGGAGGGAGACACGCTGCTTTTCCCTGCTTTGTGCGCATGCCCGCTGCAATCCAGCTCCTCGCGCAGAATATGATGAGCACGAGCGAAAGTGTACTGAGCGTTCCGCGCAGAGGTGACGATGCGGGCGCGCGACGCATCGCCCGCATAAATTCGACATGATAATCAACAGGGCGCTGCAGAAGGGCGCCCACGCCGTGCACAGCGCCTCGCTGGGCCAGACCACCCGATCGGGATCGCCAGGCGGCACCGGCGGCACAAGAGGCTGCGAGACCCATTCTTCATGAGTCACAGGCTGAGGAGGGGCGGGAACTTCACCCCGCGTAGCCTGTCGCAGCCGATCGAGCCAACGCTTCAAAGGTCGCCGAAAGGTCTGAGCAAAAAAAATCGCCGTGGGGCTGTCGCCCATGAAGGCCCCGATCTGGTTGTGCAACGTCTGCTTCCCGTCGGCCGCCTGAATCGTGAACGTCGCCAGCTCGTGCCTCTGGTGGAAGAAGGTCTGGTCCTGCGGCAGCACGGCGTGGCACGCCGTCTCTCGCAGCTCGCTAAAGGGGGCGCAGCCGAAGGCATTCGACACGTCCTCCTTCGACGTGAGCGCGGAGACGCCCCTAGCTCGCAGGCGGGCCAGCAGCGCCTCCTGACAAATGAGCGCCCCCTCACGGTTTCTGCCTGGTAGGTAGCCGTGCTCGCGGTCAGGCTCAGGAACAGCAGCGCCCCGTCGCAGGAGAGCTTTGTACCGCGCCACGCCCGCGCGACACAAACCATGAATGTCTTCTGGTACTGAACCCAGCCTTGCCGCTGCACTTCGAGCGGCCTGTGGCGCGGGAGTGATGCCAGACAATGGGGGCACGACCGACCCTCCGAACATGCTGACGTATCTTCTGGATGGCCTCCAGCGTCGATGGGGTTCTCCGCGCGAGAGACGTCGGCCCCCAGCCCTCGACGATCGCCTGCAAGCCTGTGTCGTGGAACAAAGGCCGCACGCTGAGTTGCAGCCCCATCCTCCTCGTCGCCGTCTTCGCCGTCGTGGTCGCGCTTCTTGCGAGGCCTCCTGTGAGCGCCGTCGAACCTGCGATTCGGGCCGAGCGTCGACATCATAACCTCGCGCGGTACACTGCGAGCTGGCGCAGCCTTCCTGCGTGGCGCCCGCTCGAGCAGCTCGGTCACCTCCCTCAGGCCGCCCCCCCCTCCCCCACGCGTGCAAAGTTATCCGAGCCCAGCATCGGGGGGGGGGGGGCTGAGACAGCAGCACCTTCTGCTAGTCGTCGAAGTCGACGGGAGTCGCTCGCAGCCCACCTTCAGGGCCAGGGAGCGAGAAGCATTGCTGCACCTCGTCCCCCCGTGGCGCGAACTCCTCCGCAACGCTGTACTTTCGGTGCTTCGGCCCTCCGCACTTGCCCGCCAGCATGTGAGCAAGCCTCCGCACTTCCGCATGGCGACGGCTCTGCCAGGCCTCGCCGATCTCCGTGACCTACTCCGCCGTGACCCCCTGCAGACGAGCGCGGCGCGACGTCCTCAGTCGTCGCGATGCTCTCGCCAGGGCCATGTACACCAGCTCATCATCGCCACCTGCCTCTCGCATCCGCCGCCTCTCCGCTAGCAGCCGAGAGCGCTCTTCCACAAAAACTCGTGCACGATGGTTGCAGCTCGCCCGCTCGCCGAAGTGCTTCTCCGCGACTGCGTGGACTGCGGCGATCCATCGCGCCCAAGCCTCGTCGGGGGAAGAGGCCTGCAGACAGAGATCGTGATAGTCAGGCCCCGCCTCGAACTCTCGTTCAAGATCGCGCGCGAACTCCTGCGCGCCCGTACCCCGCCTGAGAGCTTGGGCCAGTTTGTCATAGTCCCAGGCCGTCTGCTCGACACGGGAATGCGACATGCCGAAGGTGTACTCGGACCTCATGCGCAGCGGAACATGATCCTGTACCCCCTGCTTTCTAATCAGCTTCAATCTCACACTTGACCGAACCAGTGGAACCATTTTCTTGACCTCGTCTGCCTGCCACGCGAAAGTCGCAATCAAGTCAATGCAGGACACCGACGACGCACCGTAGCACGTAGGCCCCGTCGGGAAATCAGTCGACACTATCCTCACAACATGTTTTTCCATCACCTCCAGAATACGGTCACTGGCGTAGTGCTGCTCCGAATCACAGTACCTTCCCAGCGCAGGTGAACAAACAAGAGACTGCCCTCCTCCTTTGCGTCGCCAGCCGAACGAATCATTCAGATCGAAGCCCCACAGCAAACGCGCTCTCCGTGGGGCCCAGCTGAGGACCTGGCCAATCCAGCCGCGCATGGCGTCGGCCGTCTGCCGGCACAGCTGGTGCGTCACAGGCGGCACGCTCTCCCTCCCTTCGCGCCTCGCCGACGGGCGAAGCGGAAAATACATAATCGGAATCGCAATATCAAATCTTCCAGATCTTAGACGACGCAGGGGCACCCGCCCCCGCAAATACTGGGGGTGGGGGGGGCCGGAGTGTCCACAAGGTGTCTCATCCTGAACTTCGTCTTCTTGAGTAATTACACCGTCCCACGCGACTTGTTCGAGTGACGGTTCGGTACATATCCTGCACGCACTGCATCGTAGTATCTCAGCGACGACCGTGTGGTGACATGCTCCTGTCCAGCTCGCTCGCCCGCACTTGCGAGGGCAGTGAGGTCGATCGTCGAGAACTCCTCGCTTATGTCGTTCAGCGCGATCGCCTGGGCATGGGGGGGGGGCTAGATGGAGGAGGAGGGGGAGGAGGAGGAGGAGGAGGAGGAGGAGGAGGAGGAGGAGGAGGGAGGAAGAGGAAGAGAAGGAGGAGGAGGAGGAGGAGGAGGAGTGCACGTACTCAAAGAGAGACGAGACAAGAGCAGCGGGCAAGACGCGAGGAGAGGGCAAAGTTCGTCTCGCTCCCTGCCTGTTGCCGCTACGCCTACCTCAGGATGCACTTTGTGCGCTCAACGCTCTGGCCGCCAGCATGGGGCCATACACGGTGAGCGGAGGGATGTAAGTCATGAGCTGCATTCGGGAACGAGGGAAACGCAGGGATGGTGGGATGGGCGGGGGGGCGAAGGGCAGATGGGAGGAAGCGGCGAGGAGCGGGATGGAGCGTGCCAAGTGTGGGGCACTGGGCTACAATGACGGGCGGTGGGTGCCTCAGCGTTATGCGCATCATCCGCCACTCCGAGCGGCAGAACGGCACGATCATCATGTGGAGCCCCTGCCAGGCCATTGAGAGACGAGCAGCAGCATCGAAGTTGGAGGAGGTCCGAGCGGCGAAGGTACAGCGCGCCAGGAACCGTCCAATCGTGCCCGTCGCCAACCGCAGCATGCAGACATGAATCAGCATCAGGAAGAGCTTGTTCGGGAAGGTCGGCGTCGGCCGAACAGCGAAGATACGGAGCACCAGGTGGAGCCCATTCATGCCAATCGCCTTCGGGATAGTCGTCGCAAGCACCACCATGCAGAACGTGGGCTGGGCGAGCAGCGGCAGCGGCTTCATGATCAGCTTCAGGGGGGATCTTGTTCGGGAAGGGCGGCGTCAATCACTTCTTCAACGAGGGTATCGTCGTGCAGAGATTCATAATTCACGTCCGAGTCGGAATGGTTATCATGATATTGCCAAAGCTGTAGGTTGATCATGTCGTATAGCAGGCGGCGCCACGTTTCCACGACCTGAACACATGCGGCCTCGTGCTGCATGAGCTTCTCAGCCTCCGAGTACGTGGTGTGGTTGGTGATATGCTCCGAGTCGGCCAGCAGGACGATCAGGCGGCGTTCAGCTTCTGTAACATCAGCGGCGGCGCCATGCGGGCCAGGAAGGACATGGACTCGAGGATGTGCGCCCACGTCGGCAGCATCTTCTGATACGTGAGGAGGAGCGGTGGCGTGTACAACTTCGGCAGGAGCCTTGTCCCGATGAGGGTCGGCACGAGCAGCAGCGTCAGGGGGAACCCCAACAACAGGCTCACGTTCTTCAGGAAACGACTGGCCAGCCAGAGGGGCACGATCACCAGTAGGACGACGGTCACCGCCATCAGGTCCACACTCGACAGCACGCAATTCGGCAGCGCGAACAGGTTGGACATGCAGTTCATGTGAGCCACCCGCAGCAAGCACGTTCTTCAAATTCGCTGTCCAATAGACCAGGCGGCGGAAGAGGACCAGCACCCTGCCCTACAGTAAGAACACGATCTTCAAATACGCGGACAGCGTGACCGAGCGGCGGAAGAGGACCAGCACCATGCCGCATAGGACTAGGAACGTTTCCTCGAGCCTCCCCTGGGGCCCGTAGCCGTTGGATGAAGTTAGCGACGCGGTGCAGGTCGTCGTTCATGCAGACGCCCAAGGAGACGATCGGCGGCCAAGCAAGTAGTGGATGAGCGGCGGGTCGTAGTAGAACGTGTGGCTGGTGCGGAGGAGATCAGCCAACTGCAGCGTGCGCGCGGTTGGTGAATCAGCAACCGCAGGATCCGCTTGCAAGGGTAGGTGGTGCTTGGCATTGCCGTAGTTCGTGTTCTCGCGGAGGTACCCCTTGAATTCTGAGTCGCTGAGCTGCTCCTTGGCGGCGAGGATGGCCTGACGCAACGAGTGCGAGCGCTGGCCTGAAAGCTGTTGAAGCTCATGATGAAGGCTGAGCCCGCGAAGAACGCGACGTGCATTTGGCGCCACCTGCTGAGGGACGGCGACATGGCGAGCTCCGAGAGGAACAGGTTGTAGAAATCCACGCTCGATGGCGCGGGCGCGTCGCTCGGCAAGCTTACTCACACTGCGGCGGTGCACCATGCAGAAAGTCACACTCAGATACAGCGGCAGACATCGCAACCAGGAGACATGCTTGGGGCGTGCAGCAGCGCGTGTGGGGCTGCGTCCTAACATGAAATTGGCTTGAGCCAACATGGCTACGGAAGGATGAGGAGGAGGAGGAGGACGAGGAGGAGGAGGAGGAGGAGAAGGAGAAGGAGGAGGAGGAGGACGGGTCGCCCAAGCCCTTCGGAGAACCCCCCCACTCTTGCCCAGAAACACCACCATGGGATGGGTTTTCCGGTGCCCGGTGCCCGGCGCCCGCCCGTGGCCGCCTCGTCGCCGCCCGTGTGCGCGGACGAGGCGTGCCGGATGTTCGCCCAGTGGCCGCCCGCGGCCCCGTCGGTCGTGGCCACCTCGTGCGCCTGGCGGCGCGCCAAGCTGCCCGCACAGCTCCGTCACGAGGCGTATGTCTGGGCCGGTGGAGACCGGGAGGCTGCCCTGAGGCTGCTCCCCTCGCACCCTTCAGTACCACAGCCCAGAAATACTTTCGAGCGCCCAGAAGAGTGTCGAAACGGTGTCAGACGAGCATCGCCTCCCAGGGCCCGACAAGTGAAAACCCTTCAATGTTGGTACTTTCCTGGTGCTTGAAAGTCTTTCTGGTGAGCACGTCTACTGAAATAGGTTGAAGCATCATAGGTCGGCCCCCATGCCGAGGCCGGACTTAAAGACTGCCCTACGGGCGCCACGTGTTCATGGTTGTGCTGCACGTTCGTTCCATTGAGGCGGAAACTGGTATTGGCTCCACCCGCAACGCCTGACAAATAGCACGACTTCCTCTGTAAGCGTATGGCTGCCTCTGCTATGCGCAGGGTTTCCTCTGCATGCACATGGCTTCCTCTACTGCGCGCATGGCTTCCTCTCTATGCGCAAGGCTTCGTCTGTTATCCGCATGGTTTCCTCTGCAACAAAGAGTAGAGCAGAGTAGACCAGAGTTGTTTAGACTGGGGGAGAATAGAGTAGAGTAGGGTGTAGTAGAGCAGGGTAGGGGTAGAGTAGGGTAGAGTGGAGTAGAGTATGATTGAGGAGTAGGGCAGGGCCACCTAAGTAGAAAAGAGTACAGTAGAATCGAGCAGACTAGAAGACGGAGATGACAGTAAAATTGAGCCAGATATAATAGAGTAGAGTGGAGTATCGTAGAGCAGAGTAGAGCAGAACATAGTAGAGCAGAGTCGAATAGAGCAGAGCAGAGTCGAGTAGGCTAGGGTAGTAGTAGACCACAGCAGAGTAGAGTAGGAACACAGTATGAATAGAGTAGGGTGGAGAACACTAGAGTACGAGTAAAGTGAGCCGAGTAGGGTTAGGTAGGGCAAAACGGAGTAGGGTATAGTAGAGCAGAGTCGAATAGGGTACACGGTAGAGTAGACTCGGGTAGTATGTGATAGAGTAGAGTCGACTAGGAGTAGAGTGGAGTAGAGTAGGAGTAAATTAGAACAGAGTCGGGTAGAGGAGAGCAGAGTCGGGCACAGTTGAGTAATGCATATTAGATTCGAGAAGAGTAGATTATGGAGGTGTGGGTAGAGTAGAGCAGAACAAATAGGGATACATGGTAGAGTAGAGTCGGGTATAATCAAGTAGAGTCGAGTAGGGTAGAGTAGGAGTAGAGTAGAGCAGGATGAATGGTAGAATAGAGTCGTAAAAACTAGAATAGAGTAGGGTAGAGTCCACCCACGTCCAGCTCAGTCTACTCCAGTCCAGCCTGCTTCAATCCACCCTAATCCACTGCATATCAATCTTATGATATATTTGGAGCCTGCGCTGGCTGATACGTGAGAACTCCGAAGAAGAATGCCATGCGGGCCACGCGTGCACCCCCGCGCGCAAAAAAACGCAAACGTTCCAAAACAAATGGTTTCTTCGCGATTTAACACGTTGTCTTCAAAAAGCAGTCGTTGCACATGTACCAATCGAAACATCATGCGTTCTGCACGCACACATGCCACAGTCAAAAGGAACCGATCGGTTCTGTGACATCCCTATGCAAAAAAAAAGCCATTCGCCCCCCGCGCGCGCACGTCGAAATCACCCAACAGCAATGTCAAACTTGCTGACCACATGACTCGTACAGTTCACCCGCCAGCCCCGTCAAATGATATCAAGCAGGGCCACACACGCGCGCGCTCCCCCTCGCGCGCAAGACGAGGCCACTCAACAACACACTGGCGCCTGGAGCACTTCAATGTCGAGCTCGGCAAACCCATGTAAAAACCAAACGTGCTTCCATGCAAACCCCTCGGGGTCTCCACCCGCGCGCGCCCTCGCCTCCGCATCGCCATCCTCATCACCATCACCGTCGTCATCGTCATCGTTACCACCGCCGTCCTTCTCGACATCGTTATCATCATCGTCGCAGTGTTCGCGCCTTCGTCATCGCCACCACCACCACCGTTATCATCATCGGGGCTGAACTTGACTTATCGAACTTGACTTATCGAAAGCTTATGATCGCATACCCCACTCGATTGCACTTGAATCGCTGGACCGATCTGAATTACCCGACGCAGTCGTGTACACCTGCCTGGCGGCCTTGTCAGGACCAAGGGCATCATGGGGGAATCATTAATATCAAACCCAAGAACCGTCAGAACCGACGACGTGGACCCACCAGGAAAAAATGAAGGGGGGGTCACAAAACTGACGGCAATACCTCCCTCACCACTAAGAGAGGGTCGCAAAAATCCCCGCAGTTCCCCAGGTCCTGGGGAACTGCGGGGATATTGCAGCGAAGAGGAGGGGTTGGGAATTCTGACGACGGCGTGGCCGCCCGACCCGTTAGCCCCCTTTGCCGAAAGTGAACCGACGACGGCGCGGCCAGAAAACCTTCAAGTCGCTTTCTACTGGAGTCGGGCTAGTGAACCACGGGTGTGCAGCATACAAAGAGAACTCGCAGAGCCCATCCGACCACTTTGCGGCCTTCCGCAAGGAGACTCAATGGCGCCGTCTGCAATGATAGCTATGCTGGTTACATGGCAGCCGTTATGCAAGAACCACCTGTTCATGGACGACAGGTCCCTCGTGGCGCAGAGCCCTGAGCTACTAAGAGGTGATTTGGAGGCTATCCAGAGGTTCGACGCGAGCATCGGGTACCAGGGGAACGCGGCCAAACGTCAGGTTTGGTCTGACCAAAACGCAGAGTCGAAGCTGATCGAACATCTCGGTGTTGAATGCGACCGGACCAATCCAATGCATCCTATTCTACCTCGAGAAGGATGGCAGAAACTTATCCATGGTATTTCAATCCTTGCATCGACCCCTGGGTCAGACCAGGTCAGGCTGAAGTTGGCGATGGCATATCTGAGACCGTTGTGATTGTGAGCATCTCCACTCGTGATGCCACCACCCGCTGCGACGGCCAAGGTGTTGGCCAAGGCGATGTGGCGGACCAACTGTTCATGGTGGTGCCTGGGCAGGTGGTGGTGCCAGAGCGTCCTATTGCATCCAGCCTATTCGAGCGCGGTCTTTGCGATTCTGAGTGTGATAGATGTGAAACTTACGTGGTCCAGTTGTTCGGAAACGTGTATGATTTATCACGCACAGGCTCTTCGTTTGAAGTCAATCCGATATAGCGACCAACAGGGCTTGCTTCTTGAAGTGGATCCAGCAGACGATCATCGAGTACACAAGGCGGTGGAGCACCTGGTTGACGACAGGTGGAGGTCCTGGGCCTCGAGCGATGCTGCCCTACATGCCATACGTGTCATAGCACGAGTGAGATGCCTATCGTGAACGCCACGATGCGGAGGAGATTGACGACGTCGACGTGGACCTAGGTTCGCACAAGCAATTTGTGAAGTGGATGGCTTTCCTGGAGGAGTCAGACCGTACGCCGATCTCGATATACCGAAGTGGAGCGGTGACGTCACGAGCCCAGTCTTTTTAGAATCACACCATGCGCGCACACTCGCTCATACCAAAAAGCATGTTGCACGAGGCCCCCGCGACAAAAAACACCACACCAAGTCCACACATCACACCGGAAGCAATAAAACATACTCCATATTAGAGAATCAGCGGGCGGCGGAGAAACCTGAAAGAGTAACTGACGTATCGAAGAAAACGGCGGCGAGACAAACCAACAAATGCAAATCAGCTGGAACCCCCAATAAAAAATTGGCGGCGAATCGTCTTGTAACCAGTACGGAATGATTATGGTGGGCTCTGTTCTGGAATCAGTTTAATAAAACTACAGCGAACATATATACACATATATATACACACCTATATATGTGTATATACATATACATATACATATGCATATACATATACATATGCATATACATATACCTATACCGATACCTATACCTATACATATACAAATATACATCCATACATACATACATACATACATACATACATACATACATACATGCATGCATACATACATACATACATACATACATACATACACACATACACATAACAATAGAAGTATCTCTCTATCATAACAAAAAACACTCGGAACTCAAGCGCGGGCGCAAGCGCTCCCAGGCGCCTCCTGGAGTTCCCAGGCGTTTGTATGCGCTCCTGGGCGACCTCCCCCCAGCACTCGTAAGCACTCGCAAGCGCTCGCAAGCGCGCGCAGGCGCTCCCAGGCGCTCTTATGCGCTGTCAGGCGTCCGCCAGGGCACTCGCAAGCGCCCGCGAGCGCGCGCGGGCGCTCCCAGGCGCTGGAGTTAGCAACCTCATGTGACAAAACAAGCGCGGGGAAGAAACAACAAAATGGCGGCGGGCTCGCCGGCCAAAATCAGTTCAAAATGACGGCGGCGGCCAGTCAGTACTGCAGTGAGCACCGAAGAAGCCGTAGTGATGTCCACACGCACACACGCTGAATGTGCACGCCAACACACATCGGTTCGACAAGCAGTCCAAACCAAAGACATCGCACACCACTGGCTTTAGGTCGGGCATGTCCTACTACAGGCGGATTTTGTAAGAACAATTAGCAATACTCAATAAGCACTCAAATATAGCCAGAAAATTATCGAACAATCGTCCCCATGTTATGTTTTGACTATGTTTGAATATTCCTCCTGTAGAGGGACATGCCCGACTTAACACTGGCTGGTCATCACAAAGATTGCCGATGCTCTGCCCGCGCGCTTGCGCGAACCACATGACAAAAAGTCACAGGGAAGATAATACAAAACACATGGACTTTCAGCAATCGCGCCCAGAACCGGCATGCTCATCTCACCACGCGGTGCACCTGTGCGGATACTAGCATGCTGCCAGAGCACAGATCCGCATCACGTCATCCGCCACCGTGCCGTCGGTACGAAGTGGAGTGTCCTACAGAGGAGGCCGTCCACAAGAAACCTTCCCACAAGAAACCCAACCATGAGACGTTTTGGCATGGGCTTTCACTGTAAGGCTCACAACTGTGCTGCTGCTGCTGCAACCAGGGTTCTGGATTCTTAAAGGCCAGACGCCCGGCTCCCCGGGCGCTCCTGGGCGCGACATGGAATTTCCAGAAGCTCTCGGAGTGTGACGCGTGCGTCTTCTGGAAGTCAGGAGGGTCCCAAGACGGGCCCAGAGCGACCGAAAGAGAGCCTCGAGTCACCTGACGATCCTCAAGATGGCTTGAAGGCGGCCAAGGAGGCCCCCAAGAAGCTCCAAGGGAGCCCCAAGAGCAACCCCAAGAGGGCCCTAAGAGGCCCGGATCACTGTTTTCCCTTTGGTGCTTGAACGATGTTAGCCTTCTTTTTCAGCGTCCAACGCTCCAAGACAGCCCAAGAAGCCCCAAATAGCTCCCCAGGACTGCACAGGAGGCCCCCAGGAGGGCCCCAAGACGGCCCGAGAGGGCCTCAAGACGGCCCAACAGGCCCCCAAGAAGGCCTAAGAGGCACCAAAGAGGGCCCCTAGAGGGCCTCAAGAGGGGCCTAGGAGGGGGAACAAGAACGGACAGGTTGAGCCTTCCGCCCCAAGATGGCCCCAAGAGCCCCCCAGAAGCTCGGGAGGCCCCCCCAGGAGGCCCTAAGATGCCCCCAGGAGGCCCCGAAGACGCCCCAAGGGGCCCCCAAGAGGCTCTCCAGAAGCCACCAAGACCCTGCCAAGAGTTTCTCGAGAGGCGTCCCAAGAGACCCCCAGATGCATCCAAGATGCCTCTGAACCACTGTGGTTCAGCCACAACGCCCAGGCGCGGTGTCAGGATGGGCCGAAGGCCAATAGATACCATGCGGGCCATACGCACGCACCGCCACGCTCGCGTGCCGAAATCCGTCCAACACCATTGGCTTCCGAAACAATTCAAGATATAGCTCTTCAAAGACAAATGATCATCTTATTCAACTACGAATCTGTCAGATTTCTGGAATTTCTGCGCGACCACTTCCTTAGCATCAGCCTCATCCGCGCCGTGGCATCACCGCCGGTATCGTCACCGTCAATCGCCACCATTGCCACCATCATCAATCAAACACCTTCCTCACCGACACATAGGTATTATCATCGCCATCGTCGTCTCCAACATCGGCTCCGTAATTAGCCATGCCGTCGTCATCGTCATCGTCACCACCACCATCGCTACTAAGATCATCGTTGCCGCCGATGCCGAGGTCATCATGATATCATGCCCGCCAGAGTCACCGACACCCACTGAAGTGCCCGCGAGACAGCGCGACCTTTGAGACGCGCTGCGACGTTTCCATCGGTAAACGCAATCGCGGCCGCATCAGCTGTGCCAAGCCAGCTGGCCGCTCTGCGCGCGAGGGTGCGAACGCCAGCGCGGCCGCAGAGGTGCGCCAACCAATGCCAAACAGTCACCGCGACCCCGGCCGAGTGGGTTTTCCATAACAAATTGCGGGTGGGAAACGTGGGATGCTTGCGCGAGCAGTCGAGCTGATAATGCATGATTGACGTGATTCTTGGACGCTCATTAGAAGCTCCTTGGAGGCTCCGGAGGGCCTCCTTGGAGGTTCCTGAGGGCCTCCCTCGAGGCTTCTCGGAAGCTCATGGGAGATTTCCGATGGGTTTCCTGAGAGGCTCCCGTAGAGGGTTCTTGAAGGCTCCTTGCAAGCTCCTTGCGGGCTTCTTGAGGGCTCCTTAGAGGCTTCTTGGAGGCCCACGGGAGGCTCACGCAAGGCTTTCTTGGAGGCTTCTCGGGCGATCGTAGATGCTCTTGGAGCTTCGTTTCGGCGCGGAGGTCCCCAGGCTGGTGGTTGGAAACTACTCGGACCATCCATGTGCCTGCGGGAAATCCTCCGAACCCTTCGCCCACTAAACTCACAAGGCTCACACGACTCGCAAGGCCATCGGGGCTCACAGGAACTGTGGGCCTCAGGGAGCCCACAGCCACCCCCATATGCCCGAGAAGGTCCATGATGCTCATTTGGCCCAGAAGGGAAGGTCACGGTGGCCGCGGACGCCCCGTTTCTTCCACCAGATGGACGGCACCACATATATTACATCACATAGTTTGCACACGCATGCGTGTGTATATATATATATATATACATACATACATATAAAGATTTAAGTATGAATACATGCGTGTGTAAATGCATGTGTGTCCAGATGCATATGTATATATATATATATATATATATACACATGCGTGTCTCAATATTTGTATGCATATACGATTGTTCATATCTCAGCACGAATATATGCGTAAACAAACATACGTGCATATCTATACACATATCTACACACGTGTTGCGCCGCATAACTTACACAGGATAGGTTGCAACACGTAGTTTGCACCACCTAGCTTACACCTGGTATATGTCACCACAAAGCTTGCCATGTCTTTCGCCACATACCCTGTATCACCTATCATCTTCTAGTGCGCGATCATGTGCAATTGTGTGTTTATTCCTGTTTCCGCAGACACTGTGTAGGTTTGTTTTTGCTTACTGTACATACGGTTCACCACTGGGTCTTCCCCGTACTTGTTTTGCGAATATCAACTGCGAATTATAATGTCTTTTAGGGGGTTGTGTTAAATCAACGTGCGCAACTTACTTTGCAAAGCGCACCACGCTGGATTACTTCCTGGCGCTCTGCCCGGGAAGCGCCAGGAAGAAACGGAGAAGTCTCCTCCCCTCCCTTCCTCCCCCCCGTCCTTCTGAGGCCTTCGTAGGGGGCACGGGGGCCGATGTTGTGAGGACGTCCCAATACCGCTGGTGTGAGACTCGACACCAAGTCCGCCAGAACCTTCGGATCCGCTGGAAACGGTGCAAGAAACGCGGGTGTCGGCCCCACTGCCCCGCCCGCCAGGGGTCCGGATGACGTGGGCTCACAAGACAAACTGCCTCAACGCAGATTGTTGGTTGCAGCACATTGATTGCACCACGTAGGCTGCATCATGTGGGCTGCACCACATGTCGTGCATTTCGAGACTGCAAGAAAAAGCACGGTTTGGGGCCCACCCTGGCAGCCATGGAGGCTACCGCACTCCAACGTCGAAGGTTGGAACCTCCGTTGCTGCAGATGTCGGGGCCTCTGGGGATAAGCTGACACGCTCCCCCGCGCCAGACAACTTCCACGCACCCGGCACCAGCGGCGTCAGCTGAGGAAGCAGCCCCCGCGAGAGTCGTCCTTTTCCTCCGCCGGGCGCGCGGGGAAGGGGAGACCACGTCGTCAATCGGCGCTCCACGGAGCGCTCGACGGGAGGAGGAGCAGCAGCAAGACAAGGGAGGAGGAGGAGGAGGAGGAGGAGGAGGAGGAGGAGGAGGAGGAGGAGGAGGAGGAGGAGGAGGAGGAGGAGGGGGTGAAGGAGGGGGCGAAGGAGGAGGGCGGGGGAGGGGGAGGAGGACGAGGAGGAAGAGGAGGAGGAGGAGGAGGAGGAGGAGAAGGAGGAGGGGCAGGAGATGAAAGAAACCTGTGTAGCGTGGAGAAGGGGATAGACAGGAGGGTGAGGGAACCGGGGGCGGGGAGATGGAGGGAACGGGTAGGGGGACAGGGAGGCGGAGAGGGCTATGGGAGGAGGGTGAAAATACGGCGTGGTGGCAATTGGCGCCTTCAGTTATTACGGTCGCAGTTGTGGAGGCACGTTAGCACCCCTCCCCACGGCCGTCCTCGTTGGCCGAGGGGCCGTAGGAGAGAAAGAGAGAAAGAGAGAGAGAGAGAAGGAGAGAGAGAGAACGAGCAGGACCAGGGGGGGAGTGTGGGGGGGAGGAATGGGAGGAGGAAGAGGAGTTGAAAGAAGGCAGAGAAGGACAGCCTCCCCCTCCGCGACGGCACCTCACCCGATCCCGCCGATCCTCCTCCTCCTCCTCCTCCTCCTCCTCCTCATCCTGCTCCTGCTCCTGCTCCTGCTCCTCCTCCTCCTCCTCCTCCTCCTCCTCCTCTTCCTCCTCCTTCCCTCTCCCTCCTCTTCCTCTTCCTCCTCCCCCTCCTCCTCCTCCCCCTCCTCCTCCCCCTCCTCCCTCCTCCTCCTCCTCCTTCTCCTCCTCCTCCTCCTCTTCCTCCTCCTTCTCCTCCTCCTCCTCTTCCTCCTTCTTCTCCTCCTCCTCCTCCTCCTCGCGTACAGCGCCACCCCCAGACGCTCGCGAACGGCGGCGCCACACGGGCCCGGGAGCAGCGAGGCACCAAAACCCCCTGCAGCTGGCGAGCCCCCGCACGTCGAGGCTCTGGCCTGGAGAAACAAGCGCTCAACGTAGACCCAAGACGACGCCAGGAGGAGGAGGAGGAGGAGGAGGAGGAGGAGGAGCAGGAGGAGGAGCAGGAGGAGGAGCAGGAGGAGGAGGAGAAGAAGGAGGAAGAGGAGGAGGAGGAGAAGGAGGAGGAAGAGGAGGAGGGGCACGGGGCGGGTCGCGGGGCGGGGCACGGGGTGGGCGCAGGGCGGGCGCGGGGCCATGTAAACCCAAGACGACGCCACGACGAGGACCAATTCGGACGAGGATGCGTCGAGAACCTTCGGCCCCCGCAGAAGAGGGGCATGAAGAAAAAAACATCGCGCGAAGGTAGCAGGGCTGCTGTTGACCGGTTGACAAGGCACGGCGAATAGTGGCGCTTCGCGCTGACGCGCTCATCACAGGTAATCAGACGGCTACGAGATGCCATCTGCAGCCATCTGACTGAAGCAAACCCGAAATCACAACCCGAAATCACAAACCCGGAATCACAACGAGATTCAATCTCTGAGATCCGGGGGCTCTGGAGGATGTATCGGGTGCCGCGGCCTTCTCCGAGCGTCCCGGAACGCTCCGAGAGCGTTCCAGGACACCCTGGAGGGGATCTGTCCTCATCCTGAGCCCAACGAAAAACTCTTGCTGACGACAGCTGATCTGGAAGGTGGTGTCGAGCAGAAGTGTCTAAGAGACCCGCGCTCCCAGCCTTGCAAGCGCATGGGCTGACGTGCCGAGGACGTGCCTGGAGAACAGAGCAGGAGGGCAGACGGGGGCAGAGAGGAGAAGCGGATGCCAAGATCTGAGGCACCAGGCCGAATTGTCACGGAATCGGCGCACAGCCTGGCCGGGCAAGCTGGTCACCAGTCCACGGGAGGGTGGGCCAGCACACAGCGGGAAGGAGGAGGAGGAGGCGCAGGGGGAGCAGAAAGGAAGTGGAGGCGGGCAAAACCGACGGCATGGCACACTTCGAAATCCAGGCATGCGGTTGGGACGACATCGGTCACCAACGAGAGAAGGCAAGATAAGAGAAGAACAGAGAAGAGAAGAGAAGAGAAGAGAAGAGAAGAGAAGAGAAGAGAAGAGAAGGGAAGATAAGATAATATAAGGAAAGAGAAGAGAAGAGAAGAGAAGAGAAGAGAAGAGAAAAGCAAAGAGAAGGGAAGAGAACAGAAGAAAAGAGATGAACATCCCCCAATCGGTGATTGCACTTAAGGGTTCTCCCTTCTCCTCTAGGAGATTGGGCTTCTCTGCTGCTCTGGCGGCTATGTTGCCGCCGTCGCCGCCTCGTCGCCGCCCCTCGTCTGGGCCTGTCTGCCGCTCTGGCGGCTATGTTCCCGCCGTCGCCAAACCATCGCCGCCTCGTCGCCGCCCGTCGTCTGGGCCTGTCTGCCGCTCGCCACCGTCGCCGCCCCGTCGCCGCCTCGCGGCCGCCCTTCGTCTGGGCCTGTCTGCCGCTCTGGCGGCTATGTTGCCGCCGTCGACGCCCCGTCGCCGCCTCGTCGCCGCACACAAAGTGTATTTGCCGATTTCCTTTTATAAAATCACCACCCCTGGGGGTGTGCAATTGACATACGATTCTGGCCCATCATCCATTCGAAATGCGATATCGTAAGATCCCAACCCACCCCGTATCGACCCCAACCAATCCTACGCAAAAAACATGATCCGCGCTCACTCGTTGATCACAAATCATCATTTACCAAAAACCGAGCACAACATATATGACGAAGTGCACACGCGCGCGTCGTCGCGCACGCATGCCGGAATCCTGCGCTCTGCGCGCAAGCCTGCGCGCGCAAGCGCGGCTGCGGCGATGCGCCAGCCAGCGCCAAGCAGCTTTCGCAATCGCCGCCGAATCGGTTTTGCAGCCAAGCTGTGGGCGAGTGAATGGGATGATTGCTCGAGCATGGGAGATGGTCGCGCGCGGAGCAGGCGAGTTATTTGCCGCACCACCGAAACTGCACCACGTTGGTTCTCCTGTCAATAAAGGAATTCGGATCTACCCCCCCCGAGGCTGGGATTTGCGATCCCCATGGGGTTGTTTGTGCAGTTTACAAATAGCTAAGCCCCTTCGTCCGTTCTAAAAATGAACTCATACCACCCCGGCCGGCCCAATCTACACCCCTGGCCCCACTATCCTCTGCAAAAAACTCTATTCGCACGTACTCATTCGTCGTTTGTCCAAAAGCACCCATGTGCAGGAGTCCCTCTGCCAAAAAAAACGGACGATGCACACGCGCGCGAGTGCCGAAATCCGCCCAAAAAGAATTAGGTTCTGCGTGGAATTCAAGAACGAGTGTCTCGAAACATGCGTGTATATACAAGTGGCACGTGTGTGCCCAGGCTCATACAGAAAAACTGAAAGGGCGTTTGAAGCAGGAAGACACCATGACTGCAGGATCGGAGATGGAGAAGGGGAAGCTGGGGCGGCGCCGCCAGGGCGTGCCTAAGAGAAGGGGAAGAGGCAGGAGGTGAACGCAGAAGAATCTAAGATCGAGGTCGCACTCGAGCGCAAGTGGGGTTGCCACACCTTGCGATGTGTGTACCAGGGCCCCCCAGGAAACCTCAGGAGGCCCGACTTGGATACCGGAAGAGGCTCCAGGAGGCCCCGGGATTGTGAGTGTTGTGTGTGTGTGATGTGTGCTCTGTGTTGTGCGTGTTTTCTGTGCGTTGTAGGTGTTGTGTGTGTGTATGTTTGTCTAGCGTGTGATGTGTTGGGTGTGATTTGTGTCTCTGTGTGTGCATGTAGTTCTGAGGCCCCAGGAGGCCCCAGGAGGCCCCAGGCGGCCTCAGGAGGCCCCAGAAGACCCCAGGAGGCTCCAGGAGGCCCCAAGAGGCTCCAGGAGGCCGCAGGAGGCCCCAGGAGGTTCCAGGAGACCCCCAGGAGGCTCCGAGGCGGGGTCTGGGGTACCAGAAGGTACAGAAAGCCCCAGGAGGCCCCAGGAGGTTCCAGGAGGCTCCCAAGAGGCTCCGAGGCGGGGTCTGGGGTACCAGAAGGTACGTCGGGGCTCGATTTTGGGAGGATGTCTCAGGCGAAATCGCCATTCTCTGAGAATCGGGGTCAAAATCATTGAAATTACAATGTGTTTTTGAAGGTTTTATGTTAGAATGTTGAAATTCCCATGTGTTTTTGCGTCACGATCTGGGGTGCCACCGATTTTCAGAAGTTCGAGGATGTCCCTAGCGAAACGGCCAGAAAAATCGCGGACGCCGCCTTCAATTCATCGGCTCTGAGCTCTACTCCCTCGGAGAGGTGCGTATGATAATATATATATATATATATATATATATATATATATATATATTATATATATATATATTGGGCCGGGGACGCCAGAAAAAGCGCCGTCCCCACCCCCAACTAATTTGGCCCTCCCCGGGCCTCGGGGCAACCCTTCCGACGACCCCGGAGAACCTCACGAGAGCCCAAAGACGGCCCCAGACGGGTTCCAGGCGTTCCTGCGCGCTCCCATTAACCTCCCCAAAGAGCCCCACCCCCAAAGAGCCCTAACACAGTCTACCACGACGCCCAAGAAGCCGTCATACCCCCAAAGATCGTTCCGAAACGTCCCCAGAGGCCTCCAAGAGCACTCTCAAGAAGGCCTCAAGAGGCAAAATCATTGATTTTCTGCTGGTTTTTGGTGAATTTGGGGCGTTCTCTTCTCTTCGGCTTCCCGACGCTCCAAGACGGCGGTCTTCTGGGCGTCCAAAGCCGCCTGGGAGGCTCCAAAATCGCTCCACAACCATCCGAAAGGGCTTCCAGGCAGTCCAAGAGAGCCCCAAAACGGCACAACAGAGGTCCAAGATGGCCCTGAGAGAGCCCCATGGCGGCCCAAGATGGCCCCAAGACACCCTCCGAAGCATTCCAAATCGTGACCCAGTCGTTCAGGGAGACCGCGGTTGGAGGCAGGGTGGCCCGGGGAAACCCCAGAGGCTCCCAGAACACGCCCAGGAGGCCTCCAGAAGGACATAAGAAAGCCTGAACAACTTTCGTGAGGCCGCTAAAGGCTCTCCAAGGAGGAGCCTCCGCAAAAAGAGCTGAGGATGGGGAGAATGAGCAGGGTATGGCGAGAGTGAAGAAAAGGAAGCATGGAGGACGGACAACGAACAACATTATTATAACGGCAGTGCCAGAAAAGGCAACAAGGAGTTATCGCTAAATGGTCGGCTTGACCTTCCTGCCATTCCGCCTGAATACAAAACTTCTAGGACCGAGATGCATGGCGCGAAGCGCCACTGCAGTCTTGTGTATATATATATATATATATATATATATATATATATCCGTATTATCTTATCGGGCCAGGGACGCCGGACCCCCCCAACTAATTTGGCCCTCCCCGGCCCTCGGGGCAACCCTTCAGACGACCCTGGAGAACCTCACGAGAGCGTGACGGCCCCAGACGGGTTCCAGGCGTTCCTGCGCGCTCCCATTAACCTCCCCAAAGAGCCCCAAGACGGTCCACGACGACCCCCAAGAAGCCGTCATACCCCCAAAGATCGTTCCGAAACGTCCCCAGAGGCCTCCAAGAGCACTCCCAAGAAGGCCTCAAGAGGCAAAATCATTGATTTTCTGTTGGTTTTTGGTGAATTTGGGGCGTTATCTTCTCTTCGGCTTCCCGACGCTCCAAGACGGCGGTCTTCTGGGCGTCCAAAGCCGCCTGGGAGGCTCCAAAATCGCTCCACAACCATCCGAAAGGGCTTCCAGGCAGTCCAACAAGCCCCAAAACGGCACAACAGAGGTCCAAGATGGCCCTGAGAGAGCCCCATGGCGGCCCAAGATGGCCCCAAGACACCCTCCGAAGCATTCCAAATCGTGACCCAGTCGTTCAGGGAGACTGCGGTTGGAGGCAGGGTGGCCTGGGGAAGCCCCCAGAGGCTCCCAGAACACGCCCAGGAGGCCTCCAGAAGGTCATAAGAAAGCCTGAACAACTTTAGCCCAAGATGCTCCCAAGAGGACCCCCCGAACAGCCCCATACGGCCGCAGGGGGGCCCCGAGAGCACCTCCAGAAACCAAAAGCAAGACAGTCCCAAGAAGACGGCCCAAGCGAGCCCCAAAATGGCCCCAAAAGGCCCCCAAGACGGTCAAAGAGACCCACAGGGCGCCCCAACACCGCCAAGAGACCCCGAAAAGGTCCCAAGAGACCCCAAAGAGACCTCCAAGAGGCCTCCAGGGGCCCTCAAGAAGTCTCCAAGAAGTCTCCAAGAGGCCCCCAGACGGCCCCAAGAAACCCCGAAGAGGCCCACGAAATTGTATACTAATGGCGCGTTGTTGCTATGCTATTGGGGGGACGAAAGATTTCCTCTTGATGTGAAAACGGCGATGAGGAGTTCGCGAGACAACATCGGCGCCGCCGAACGTACAACGTTTGGACGAGCTGCTTGCAGCAACCAGGAGGCGCGGAGAGTTGATGGGAGCGCGCGAGACAGCGCAGGGACCTGTCCTGGGAAGTTGAGAACCGAATCCCCCCTCCCCCGTTGAATCTTAACACAGGCGGGTTGCGGTCGCGGGGTCTGGGAGGCATAAGACTTCAAACCGTCGCTCCGGCCCCACGAAGAATAGACTTTCGCAGCGGGGACGCAATCAGAATTAGAACTTGTCGTTGCCTTGTGCGGACGCGCGGTGAATTCTCCTTGCCCTCGTTGACGTTCGCACGCTCGTCCTGGCGCCGAAACCGGGGGGGGCGCATCCGCCCCCCGTGGCGCTGGCAGCGCCTCGGGGCGGGCAGAACGACACGGCAGACCAGCGACCCCGACGAGCAGGGCAAACCACCCAACGCCCAGTCTTGACGTGCTCCGGACGTGCACCCCGCGAAGCGCCAGAAATCATTGAGGTCTCGCCTTGTGTGGCTTCTGGCGCTCCAAGACGGCCACATAGGCCCCCAAGATCGCCCCAAGACGGCCCACGCGGCCCCCAAGACGGCCAACTGACCTCCAAAGACGGCCCTCATGTGCCCAAAGAGGGACCCACGACTGCCTGGAGAGGCCCCCAAGACGGCCTCCGAAGGCCAAGATGTACCTTAGAGCCTTAGAGGCCCCGAGAAGCCCCCCAAAGCCCCCACAAGGCCCTCAAGAGGCCCCAGGCGGCCACAGGAGGCCCCCAGAGGCTTCTCGGAGGCGCCCAAGGGGCTCCCAGGAAGACCCCAGGAAGCCATAAGAAGGCCTCAAGAGTCCTCCTTTTCCTTTTCCTTTTCATCCTCCTCCTCGTCCTCATCCTCCTCCTCTTCCTTCTCCTCCTCCTCCTCCTCCTCCTCCTCCTCCTCCTCCTCCTCCTCCTCCTCCTCCTCCTCCTCCTCCTCCTCCTCCTCCCTCTCCTCCTCTCCTCCTCCTCTTCCCTCTCATCCTCATCTCTTTTTCTCTCCCAGGTGTTCCCCCAAGGAGGTCTGCAACAGTGGGGGGAACAAATCGTCGAATACCTTGGTCAGACTTTGGTTCAACGGTTGGCCGCATGGGCGTTTCCAGAATGCAGGGGGCGGCGGTGGTTCGCCATGGGCGTCTTCAATATTGGCGTCGCCGGTCGAAATCGGAGTCGGCGCTAGACGGGCTCTGTTCTGGTGATGCTGCTCCGTACGGTGCCGGTCGTAGCAGTACGCCACTCGAAGAGCTGCGCCAGAGTGGCGCTCCACTGTAAGGTAATAAAGTTTGCTGTGCGAAGCCAGCGCAAGTTGGTTAGCTTCTGAATTAGCGGTGATGCATGCTGGGTGCCAGGTTTCTGGTGGTCGGATGCCTGGTGTTCAATTCTGGAAAGATGGTCAAGAAGTTGGGCTCTGCAGGGTGACCAATTCGCTTTACGTCCTGCGGAAGACCGTCGCCCGGGGGTAGAGCTCCAACAGCCAGTCAGAGCAGCCTGACCCAGTGCCCAGCCACATAAGCCTGATTGGATGCCTTGAGTGTTTGCTGAAGGGGTATCTCCAAGGCCCTATCACGAGAAGGCCAACCGAGAGAAGACTCGATCTGGTGACCTTTCCTTTGCTCTCCCTCCAGGAAGGCTCAAGTGCTTCAAGAAGGGAGCTCGTCCTCGACCCGACAGGCCCACGGTGATGGGTTGTGGGTGGTCGCGGTTGCTGCCCGCCATTCTCATAGCGAGGGGGCCCGCTGGAACTATGTCAAGTGGGGATCCCGGGGCAGAGTCCTCTGCTGGGGATGCTGCTGAAAGGGAAGCCCTGATGGATGGGTGACCGAAACAGTCGGCAAGCTGTTCTGTAAGCGGCAACGTCGTGACCATGCAATTAGTTAAACAAGGCGGGCGCGTGGTCTTACAAGGCCGGCTGGGCCAGGACATGCTGGTCGATATTATAAGAGGAAATCAGAAAGGTTGCCCCCACTGTCTCTGTCTGTGCCTTTGTCTCTGTCTCTGTCTCGTAGCAAGTCGCAGCAGTGATAGGCAGCAAGTTGTATTTGCAATGATCCACGGGTGTGCGTAAATGCGCGGGCTTTGCGCAGCGTTGCCGCGGTAGAACACAGTGCGAACAGTGTGTCAGTGCTTGCTGCGACCTCCCACCTCACCTGCGTAAAAGACATGGTCAAGAAGGGTCGTGAGGAGCTTACCCAAAAAGGCCTGAGGACCACGGCTCCTCGACTGGCATGAACTGTGTAACCCGATTTTCAAATCAGCTGCAGAAGCGCCCAATATGCGGATAGAGAGAAACACACGGCTTGAGCCACGCAGTACAGCAGCTCCCTCCTCTCGTGTCCTCCCGACGCGGACGATCGGCAGAAGTGGAGAAACGAAAGCCTCAGCTGAGGAGGAGGGGGAGGGCAAGGAGAAGGCAATCAGGAGATGCTCTGCGAGTTCTTCGCTTGGCCCATCCAGTGTCCCGAGCGTTCTGCTTGGTCCTCTGCGCCTTGTACTGCTCGACGGTCTGGATGTACTGCTTCATCGCCTCCTCCGTCTTGAGGTTCTGGACCTTCTTCCAGGCAGTCCAGCAGTCCCTCCCCCCCCCGCTCCCCCTGGACTGGACGCGGCAAGGCCGCAAGGCATCAGAGCTTCCCACAAAGGCCTCGGCGCGAGAGCATAGATGTCTGCTTACTCCTGGGGCCAATCTTAGCCTCCTGCTCCTCCTGCTCCTCCTGCTCCTCCTGCGCCTCCTGCGCCTCCTCCTCCTCCTCCTCCTCCTCCTCCTCCTGCTCGTCCCTCCTCCTCCTCCTCCTCCTCCTCCTCCTCCTCGTCCTTCCTCCTCCTCCTCCTCCTCCGCCTCCTCCTCCTCCTCCTCCTCCTCCTCCTCCTCCTCGTTTTCTTCCTCCTCCTTCTCCTCCTCCTCCTCCTCCAACTCCAACTCCAGCTCCCCCCCCTGCACAGGCGCTCGGCGACGCGAGAGCGGGGAGCACAAGGGCCTCTGGCCCCCTGTGGGGCCCCAGGTCTGGCCGCGGATCTCCATGCGCGCACCGCTGACCCCCCCGCCTCGGAGACAACGGTGGGGCCGAAGAGCCCAGGGGGCGGGCACCACGAGCAGATCCCTGCGGGAGCCTCGCCGAAGACGGCCGAGGATCGGCGCGCTCACCGACGGCCCCGTCTCGGAGGCGACGACGGGGCCGAAGAGCCCATGGGGCGAGCATCGCGCGCAGGCCATCGGCGCCCCTGGATACAACCACTGCTCCCCCCTGTGCCATTCGCCCCTGTCGCCGCCCCCGATCGTCGGCTCAAGCACCACGCAGGTGATGGAACTCGGCCTGCATCTCCGCCGGCACCCACATGGGCTGTCTGTTCGAACTCTGGGGTGCTTGATGGGGCGGGCTGGCGACGGCCCGCGGGCCTTCGTCACCGTCGTCTGCTGCTGCCCGCGCTCACAGTGAGACAATCACCCCTGCTCTTCCCTCCTCCTCCTCCTGTTCCTCCCGTCTCCTCCCTGCTCCTCCTGCTGCACCCTCTCCTCCTCCTCCTCCAGCTCTGGCTCCCTCACTCCCTCCCGCCTCCTCCATCCCTCCCTCCCCTTCCTCCCTCCTCCTCCCTCCTCCCTCCTCCTCCTCCTCCTCCTCCTCCTCCTCCTCCTCCCTCCTCCTCCTCCTCCTCCTCCTCCTCCTTCTCCTCCTCCTCCTCCTCCATCCCTTGTCCTCATAAATCACTCCCCCCTGTCGCGCCCCGAAACGTGTTGGCAGGGCGGGCCGGTCGTTTCGCCCGAGACCTCCTCACCACTGAGGATCGTGAAGCTTTGCACTCTGCAGCAGCTCCACGGACGGAGGCCGGGCGGGCCATTTTCAGAATCTGCCCATCGCCTCCGCGCCGGGCACGTTCGTCGGGAGAGCCGGGAACGGTCTCGCGGAGGGAGGGGCCGGGCCGTGTTCAGAGTCTGGCCATCCCCTTCAAGAGCCGCGCGCCTTCGTCTCTCCAGAAGTCCGCAACGGCTTCACGGGCGAAGGGCGGTTCCTTCTCAGAGCGTGGCTCTCGCAGTAGCACCTCGCAGGAATCCGGCTCAGGCGCTGGCAGCAGTGCCGAGGGTTCGTGTGGCTGAAGTCCCAGCGACGGCGTGCTGGGATGACTCCTCGGATTGCCAGGACGCAGCAGTCACGTTGCCTCGCGGTGTTCAAGTCCCAGGAGTGGTGTCGTGGCACGGTTCAGGATTCGGAGGGCGCGCCAATCAGGTTGAATCCCAGGAGTGGCGTCTCGGCACGATGGAGGTTTCTCGGGCGGTTGTCTTCCAATGGGGCACTTCCCGCAGTGTGAATGTACTCTTGTAGGGGCAGATGCAAAAAAAAACTCGGAGGGAGGGTTTGTTGCAACATGATTGAAGCGTCTTGGGTTTACGCTGGCCTCCTCTTCCTCGTCGTCCTCGCATCACGGCGTCGAGGACGAGGACGAGGAGGAGGAGGAACCCAGATGATCAAAAGCCTCGACTCTGGAGGCCGAACCTCCATGTTTGGAAGAAGCACACACGAACAATTGCGAAAAGGGCATCCAGAATGGAGGTGGACTCCCCGTTTTGATTCGGCGGCGAGCCCAGGGGGGGAAGTGAGAAGGGGCGGGCCTTCTCAGAAGGCTTCGAGGTCCCCCTGGCCTTCTGAGAAGTTTTCGAATCCTTCCACGAAAGCGCAGACAGCCTCTCAGAATGCCTGGGGCCTTCTGAGAAGCCCCGCCGCCCTCCGAGAAGACCTTCTCCTTCTCACTTTCCCCCTCGCTCGCCGCCGATTGATTGCTCTCAATCCTCCAGGAAAGAGAGGGAGGCGGAGGAGGGATGGAGGACGAGGAGGCGCTGGAGGAGGAGGAGGAGGAGGAGGAGGAGGAGGAGGAGGAGGAGGAGGAGGAGGAGGAGGAGGGAGGAGGAGGAGGCGATGGTAGAACGTGGAGGAAGCAGGGAGGACCCAGAGCTGGAAGAGGCAAGGGAGGCCAAAGGCGAGGAAAGGCGAGGGAAGGGGCAGAAGGAGGAAGGAGGCAGGAGGAGGCACAGCGTCGGAATGCAGGAGGAGGCGCAGGAGGAGCAGGAGGAGGAAAGTGGGGAGGAGGGAGGGGAGGGAGGAGGTGGGAGTGAGGGAGGCAGCTGGGGCAGGAGGAGGCCAGGGGCAGGAGGAGGCAGGGGGATCACCCTCTTCCAGGCGTCGTACTTCTGCTGCTCCCAGGTCTTCTTGGAGCTGAAGCGGTCGCCCTCGGGCTCCTTCGATGTGGCCCACGGGGGGAGGCGGTGCTACGGACGGCCGCGACGAAGCCCCCTGGGACCCGACAACGAGCGGAATGTCCAAGACAGCAGGCAGGCGACGGACAGCACCCGACCCTGGTGCCTTGAAGCTGGCTGGTCATTGTCGCCGTCCTGGTGGCGTCTTCTCGCCGACCGGAGCAAAGAGGGTCCGTAACACGCCGCTCCCCCCCAGGGCGGCCTTGACCCATTTGATGGAAAAGCTGTGGTAGGCCTGTTTGTGAAGGCCATACAGCCTGAGTCGCACGTCCTGGGGCGTGGACTCGTTAACCAGGGCCTCGACCTCGCGCTCGGCCATCTCGAATTTCAGGCTCAGCGGCGTATCTGCTGGCGGCGTGTCCAGCGGCTTCCGCGGAGGCAGCACCATCAGCCTCAGCCCGCACGACGCGGCGGCCAGCAGTGCCATCAGGGCGGTGAGGCCCAGGGGCCACAGGACACCGTTCACCTGCGCGTGTCCCTCCTCCACGGCTCGGGATCTGCTGGAAGCGTAAGAGCAAAGGACTGCACAGGCATGGACTTTCGGAGGTCCGCGCGAACTCCTTGGGCGAGCGCCGGGCCCACGACGCCCCACACCCCCTGCCAATGCCTCGGGCGCCGACCTGTGCGTGCTACACCAGAGAAGCCCGCATGCGGGCCTCCGAAAGTCTGTGCGCATGCCGTGTTCTTCACTCTTCGAGGAGACACTGCTGGCACAGGGCCCACTCGACCGTAGGAAGCTGGAGTTGTAGCCATCGTCGGGGGTCTTGATCGAGTCCTGCAGCTCCGCGTCGCCGGCGCACTGCATCCCAGGGTTCACGAAGCACCACGGCAGGTCGGTAGGATGTGCAATGACCTCCGCCTCCCCTGCATCGGCCGCCACCGACCAGAAGTCGCAGTACTGGCCCTCGCGGCCCTCCCAGGGCGCTGGGGCAAGCGCCATCAGCAGCCTCTCTGCGGGGAGCCCCGAGGAGGGCGAGGGCCAGGCAGTGCTAAAAGGGGGTCGCCAACAGGGGGGTCGCCCCCTCCTCCTGGAGAGGACACCACAAAACCACACGAACGCACACACACACACACATGCACACGCACACACACACACGCACACACACACACACACACACACACACACACACACACGCACGCGCACACACGCAAACGCACGCGCACACACACACACACACACACACACACACACACACACACACACACGCGCACACATCGGGGGGACGCAAGACCCGGGTACGGAGGACCCGGGTACGACGGAAGAGGTCCGTCAAAAATTTTGGGGCGCTCCGATGCAAGTGTGCCGCGTCCAATCGAATGCCCTGGCCCCTTGCTGCAACGACTCGCACCACTCTCAACGATGCAATCAAGAAGACATTGAATGGCATGCCGCTTCGCTCGCGAAGCGTGCTACACGTGCGCCCGCGCGCGTATGTCCCTATCAAGTGCGAAAGGTTTCCTTTCTAGTTTCAGATTTGTTCGTGCCGCATTTTACGACTACCACTGCGAATCCAGAGAACACAAAAAACGTTCCAAAACATCAGATGGGACAGGCCTGCCATGAGCATCTGGACCCCCCAACCGATTTTGACGAGGACGTCAAAATTTGACGCGCCCAACATCAAATTTGACGAGGCCATCATAAATTTGACGAGGCCCAACCAAAATTTGACGACGACGATTGCTCGAGACATTCTCAAAGAATTCTGGCGCGTAAAATTTGACGAGCACCACTTTTTTTTGACGAGCGGACGGTGGCCCACGTCGGCGGCATGACCGGCCCGACTCCCCGCGTCAAAATTCTTTGACGGACCCTCCCCTGATTATTCATTGCCCCGCGATGGTCCCCTCCACTTGTTGTCCCACCTCCCCTCATCTCTTTCTCCTCCCGTTGCCTCCTGCTTCGTCCATCTCTTCCTGTGTACCCCCCACGCCAGCCCCACAGATGTCCTCGAGAGGCCCTCAACAGCCCCTGACCCCTGTCCCAGGCATCACTCGGTTCACTAGAGCTTCTAGCGATCCTGCCGAAAAAACGCCCTCCAGCAGCGCCGCGTCGCGGAATGTAACCGACGCGCGTTCGCAACTAATTTTTTCAATTCCCGCGCGAAACTCGCGTCCCGGCTTACCCGGGTCTTGCGCCCCCCCGAACACACACACACACACACGCGCGCACACACACACACACTTTGGCGTCGCTGCCTCATGCGCGGCGGTGCGGCGTAGAAAGTCGGGCGTAGAGGCGCGCGCGGCCAGCCCAGGTCACGCGGCACACGCAAAGCACACACACGCACACACACGCACACACACACACGCACACGCACACGCACACACACAAACACACTCGCACACAACAAACACACACACACACACACTCACACACACACAAAAAAAAAACACACACAAACACACACACACACACACACGTCTGCTTCGCGGCCGGTTGGCCCAACACAGCGAGTGCGTCAGCGGGATGCGCTAAGCACGCACGCACGCACGCACGCACACACACACACACATACTCACATACCCACACACGCTCAAGACCACCCAGAAAGCTCCAGGAACGCCCAGGCATCCCAGCCGATCCTTGGGCCCTCCCACCCCTTCTCGACCCTCCATCCCCAGGAGGAGGCGGCGACAACCCCCCGAGACACCCCGGAGGGTGTCAGCTCTTGGCGCTGCCCGATGAGGAGGGCGGCGGCCTTGCGCCGGGGCTGCCCGGGGCCGCTGCCGCTGCGCGCGCGAGGGCGGCCCCGGAGGCCGCCGCCCGCTCCGAGAGGCGCCTCGCCGTCGCCGGCTGGGCGGGCGGCGCGGAGGTGGTCGTGGCCTGGGCGGAGGGCGCGGAGGAGGTCGTGGCCGGGGTGGAGAGGGCGGGGGTGGTCCAGGTGAGCGTCACCTGTGGCCGCTGCGGGGTGGCGCTGATGCGCGTGGTCGTGGCGGTAGTGGCCGTGGCGGTCGCGCTGGTCCTCGTGAGCGTCCGGGTGGTGCCCGTGACAGACGACGCCGTGCGGGTGGTCCGGGTCGTGAACGTGAGGCTCTCGGTCTCCGTGGTTCCTGTGACGGTCGACGTCGTGGTAGTGGTGGCGGTGGTGGTCGACGTGTAGGTTGTCGTTGTCGTGACAGTGGTGGTTGGCGCCAGGGCGCTCAGCCCGTTGCAGACGCAGCTCGTTGCGGCGCTGAAGGTGAAAGGCTGCTCGCACAGGTAGCTCACCCGGTCGCACACGCCGATGGGGCCTGGGACGTCCCCCGAGGTCAGATATCGGGTCGGGCGACCAAGGGGTGATAGCAAGGGATGGGGTAGCAAATCAGCTCATGTAGCTGATTTCCCCTTCTCCCCGGCGCTGGAGGCGCCCATGCATCGAAGAGAAGAGCTCAGCGGCAGCGGCCAAAGCTGGCTGCATGTGGCGGATCTCGTACGCCCCGCCCGTCCTCATCCCCCCTTCGTCCGACCCGAAGATACCACTTGGCCACTGCTGCCAAGCCGTTGTCTGGCCGGTCGTCCGAGGCAGCGTCCACGGTGGCCCAGACCTCGGAGGATTTCTCCGGCCCGCAGTGCCACACCGTCTCGTCCTGGCAGACAAGGTTGGCGGCACTGACCACCGGCAGCCACGCGCGCTGGTTGCAGGTGTACAGGACGACCACGAGGGCAACCATCACCAGGGCTCCGATGATGCCGCAAAAAATGAACACTTTGGCAAGCCTCGCGCGATCGGCGGCTCCTCCGCCTCCTCCTCCTCCTCCTCCTTCTCCTCCCTCCTCCTCCTCCTCCTCTTCCTCCTCCTCCTCCTCCTCCTCCTCTTCCTCCTCCTCCCTGTAGCACCCCGAGGCGGGTCGGTAGGGCGATCGGGGCGTTTCGCCTGAGATTTCCTCACTATCTATGATCTTGAAGCTTGAGAAGTGCAACATATTCACAGATGGAGGGCGGGCCGCTTAAAAAAATGTGGCTCTCGTCTTAGCGCCGCGCACTTTCATCCTAAAAGTTTGCAAGAGCTTCACGGATGGAGGGTAGTTCCTTTCCAAAACTTGGCTCTCGTCTTAGCGCCGCGCACATTCGTGTGAACAGTTTGCAGCAGTTTCAAGGATTCTTATGGGTGGCGTCTCAGAAATGGCGTTTCGGCACGATTTAGGAACTGTCAGGGCGCGAGGGCCACATTGACTCGCGGCGTTGACTTCCCAGGAATGGTGTTCTGGCACGGTTTAGGATCATCAGGTCACAACAGGGACGTTGATTCACGGCGTCGAAGTCCCAGGAATGGTACTTTGGCCCGGTTGAAGATTTCAGACGGCAGTCTTCCAACGGGGCTCGTCCAGCAGCGGATATAAATCCTCATCGGAGCCTATGAAGAGGGAACTTTGAAGGATAATGTATTCCAACATCGTTGATGAGCCTTGGGTTTCCGCTCTCCCTCCTCCTCCTCCTCCTCCTCCTCATCCCCCTCCTCCTCCTCCCTCTCCTTCTCCTCCTCCTCCTCCTCCTCCTCCTCGTGCTCCTCCTCTTCTTCCTCCTCCTCCTCCCGGTCTCTCTCCGTGTCTTCATCCTATCCCCCTCCTCCCCTATCCCTACTACCGCCTCTCCTCTACCTCGTTATCCTTCCCTTCACCCTCTTCCTCCCCCGCCACGCGCGGCCAGGCATGGGCATGCCTGGTCCAGGGTTGGTGTAGATTCTTCTGGTCAGGAGGAGCTCAGCACCATCCAGTTTAGGCCTGGCCAGGAGGTGCCAGCGCGCAGCCAGCGATCGCACAGGGGCAAGCAATCAATCAAGATGGCTATGCATCCTGGAGGATGCGTGGGCAGGCTGGCATGGGCGCTCGTGGCCCTTGCCATCACCCGCAGTGACTAACTCATCGCATTGCAATCAGCCCAGATGATACAGTCGGCGCCACAACGAGTTGGACTAAACATCCTAGGGGGAGGAGCAGAGGAACGCCACTACCGTCGATGACTTCGTGGTCGTCAGACTCAACACCTCGGCCTCAGCGAGCTGCAAGGCTGGGTTGCACCTGGCAGAGCAGGAAGGAAAGTATAGTTCTGGCATTTTGCTCAACCCGCCTTGAGGGCCTCGAGCTGCAGCGGGACCGAGAGAGCACGACCATCCTGCTTACCAGCCATCTCCTTAGCTATACGGTAGATATGAACAGCAAAGAGCGGTGGCAAAGACATCACTTTCACAGGTTAAGTCAGACGCAGGGTATTGCGCGGGTAGACCGAGACCGAGACGGAGAAGAGGACAAGGAGATGAGGAGGGACCACGGCTCGAGGACGACAGACAAGGTGGGCGAGGAGAGGGCATCTGAGATACTGTGCAGCGCTGTCTGGACGTTGGGGGCATCCAAAACGCAGCCCCAGAGATCTTCTGCAACATGCATACAATCAGCGGTGGTCCAGCCCCCTGCAACTCTCTTGAGGAATTGCCAGAGGATGGGCGGAGGGAGCGAGAGAGTAGTCCTCGAACCAGAACGAACCTCTGCTTCTTTTTTTTGTTGTTGGACCCATAGTGGCTCAGGAGGCTCCAGAGGGTCCCAGTTGAAGGCGGTCGACTCCTTGGTCGAGCAGTCCGAGGACACCGTGGCGAGGGGGGGGGGCCCACTGTCCGTGGGGAGCGCCTGCCTGCCGAATGGCAAGCAGGGCAAGAGACAGCCGCGTTCCCCCACGCGGAGCCCCCACCCTCGCCATCTGTCGGGGCCCAGGCGCGGGAGTCGCGCCAGGCCTCTGAAAAAAAGAAGAGAAGGCCAGCGGGGAGGACACGGAGCTACTCCGCGATGCCCCACCCCGCAAGGGCCAGGTGGCACTACCGATCAGCCCACATCTCCATCTGCAGACGGCCCCAGAGCTGGCGGCAGGCCTTGTGACGACGGGCCTGCACACGCAAACGCGCCTCGAAGTTTTGCTGAGGCGAGCCAGGGAGACGCAGACGGAAGGCTGAGTGTGCGCACAGAAAT